CATCGGTGACTCATGTGAAAAAGGTTAGTTGTAGAAGTTTGTTGAATGACTACAGAGGCAGCCTGTTCTTTTGGGTGGGGTTGGAAGATAGAAGGAAACTTTTTTACAGAATATGTCTTGTATTCCGAGTGGTGGAAAGAGTTGTATGTTATCTGTTGGCTGCTCCTTGAAAGTAGCAGTAGTTGCCCCATGTGTGATGTGTTGTGAACGTGCTTTGGAATTGCTCCTTCCGTGGGACGTGGCCAGTTGGACATCTGCTGCCAACACTGATGTGCATTTGCTGGTCTGTTGTAGGGTCTGAGTGCCCGGACCGCTTGGCTATGGACTTTGGTGGGGCTGGTGCCGCCCAGCAAGGGCTGACTGACAGCTGCCAGTCTGGAGGTGGTATTGGATGCACACAGAACGGGGAAAGATGGGATTTGACGGGCCTTTGCCCAGGCTGATGGGCTTTAATTTTATTTGTTATTTTCCTAAGGTGTTCCCACAGCTGTGCAGAACTTAGCACCTCGTGCTGCTGTTGCTGCCGCTGCCCCTCGGGCTGTTGCACCTTACAAATACGCATCCAGTGTCCGCAGCCCTCACCCTGCCATACAGCCTCTGCAGGTGAGGTCCACCAAACAGAATGCTAAGAGGATTTTCCCTGTTTCCGTGTGATTGAAAAGATGCCTTGCTTTGCTTCCTTCCACAGGTATTAAATACCTGCTCTATGTCAGGGTGCCATGTCCTGTGCGGTGACACTGCCCTTGCAGGGGCTTTGTAGTGGGAGAGAGGGGTTTGAAATTGTTCTTCCTGATAACAGTTTACTCAGAAGTGCCCCAGAGGAGACAGCCAGTGCTTTTCTCCTTTTTACATGTGTGCTCACTCAGCTTTTTGAGCTTTTCACATCCTCTGGCCTAGTTGATCCTTCGCTACTCTGCAAGATCATTGGTACATTAAGGCAGGAGAGAACTTCATCTTATAGATGAGAAGTTCAGCTTCCGACTTAAGTTGGGGTGGGGAGTTGGAACCAGATCTCAGATTTTCTAAGATGGAACTTGTTATCTCTAGAGCTGTTTCCCTCAGGCAAGCTAAGATACAAGTAGTTTATTGCAAAGCTCAGTGGCAGTTTGCCTGGAGGAACCACACTCAGCCTTGTGGTCCGTAAACTGCTTTGTAAGTGGGAGATTTCCTGGAACTTGATTCTCTGTGAAGTATTTTCTTCCTAGAAGGCCCTACTTTTAGGGCTGTGACTGGCATTGACATTACATGTTGACAGTTATCAGGCCTTTGATACAATAAAGACATTTGGTACAATAAAGGTAATGTGGGATGTAATTATAAGTGTTTTGGTATTTATACCCTTTGACCCAGTCTCTACTGGGAATTCACTCTAAAGGAAAATGGTAACTTTCAGGAAAGGGCTACATGTACGAATGTTCACTGCACCTTATTTATTAACAAGGCTTCAAATTCTTGGGTAACCTTGGGTAAATTATGACCATTATAACTTGAGTAAATTAAAATTAATTGATAGATGGTTGTCAAGCGTTTTAGGTTTTTCTTATTCGTTTTCCTTTCCTTTGAATAGCATGCCATTTTACTATAGTTGGTAAACTACATGACTCTCTTCCTCACCTGACCCCCTCAAACCCCCAAGACTGAAAGTAGTTCCTTGACAGCAAGGACATCCACCTCCATCTCCTCTTTCATATAGTAGACTTTCAGATGTTAAGTGGTCAGGCTCTTGATCACCGTCAAGTGTCCTTTCCTTGGTGCTGACCCGTTGCTTCTGGTTCCCAGGCACCCCAGCCGGCGGTCCACGTGCAGGGGCAGGAGCCCCTGACCGCCTCCATGCTGGCTGCAGCACCCCCCCAGGAACAGAAGCAGATGCTGGGTGAGTGACCCACGTGCTTGCGGAAGAGGGGGCCAGAGCCTGGTACTGACCTGGACACCAGGTCCACTCTTTACTGGGATTTCACCTGCTTTTTAATGAAATCTCTTCCCACAGGAGAACGTTTGTTCCCGCTCATACAGACCATGCATTCAAACCTGGCTGGAAAGATTACAGGGATGCTGCTGGAGATCGACAACTCTGAGCTGCTGCACATGCTAGAGTCCCCTGAGTCGCTCCGCTCCAAGGTGAGCTGCTTCTCTGACCCTGGGGCTTTCGCTCACTCAGCTCGGGAGGACGAGGGGCGGCCTCGCACACCAGGGAGCAGCAGAGAGAAGGGTCTGCTGCCCCATGACCTTCTCGGGCCTCGCCTATGATTTGAGGGCTGCTGGGGTGTGGTATTTGGGAAAGTGGTCGGCACCAGAGAGGGGTGGGAGGGGCTCTCCTCAGATATCACTGAGCCCCTGGAGATTTCTCACAGGTGGATGAAGCTGTGGCGGTTCTGCAGGCTCATCACGCCAAGAAGGAAGCTGCCCAGAAGGTGGGCGCTGTCGCTGCTGCTACCTCCTAGACAAGGAAAAACCGTATGTTTGGCTATTCTTGTTTTCTGCAATGGTTTTGACTTGCAAATATCTTCCTAAAAGATTAGGGGCTGTGTACAGAACCATGTTTCTGCCACTTAACCTGGTAACTTGGGCAGGCTGGCACCTGGATTTTTTTCCTGTCATCTAGGTGAGTTAATATGGAGAAGAGAGGAGTACAGGTTGTAAATTATAAGGAGCAAACGACAAGAGCACCTGGTTGGATCTTTCTCAGGAATCACCTTGTTGGTCTGGAATAATGACGGATATATAAGGCGTTGTCATAATCACATCCCACAGCCTTATTTCTATGAGCATCTCCCTGGTTTGGCTTGAGGTTGGTGAGGTTAGCTGTGTGTGCAGCTACTGCTTAGCTCTGGGAACACAGCAGGCCACAGGCCTTGGTATCAAAGGGGGAGAGACAGTCACATCTGACTACAGTTTCAGTGTGAGTGTTGCAGTTGACTTCTGGACTTGGGGGCCATGACATCTGTCTGCAGGGACTTGGGTGACTGAAGCTTAACTAGGACTTGTGGCAAGAACTGGTGGGTGCTTCCAGATGGAGAGAGGGAACCAAATGAGCAGAGGCAAGGAGAAAGAGCATGTGGTAAGGGCCAGAGCTGGTGTGTTGGTAGGGGTTGATTGGCATAGCCATGGCCCCTTGTCAAGGGTCTGAGCCCTGTCATTTGGAGCTTAAGCAAGAAAACCACAGAAGCTTTGAGTACAGGATACCCAGGAACGGTGGAGGGGGGAGCTTTATAGACAGTAGTTAGCCTCAGAAGTCAGTTGTTTTTAATCAGGGGTGCCCCCGCAGGGGACATTTGCTAATGTCTAGAGACATTTTGGTTGTCACAGTTGGGATTGTGTTACTGGCATTTAGTGGGTAGAGGCCAGGGATGCTGCTAAACATCCTGGGATGCACAGGACAACCCTAATGGAATTATCTGGGCCAAAAGTCAGTAAGCACTGAAGTTGAGAAACTCTGCTCTATAATTCCTTCTTTTATCAGCCAGAGATTTCAGTGAATCCCTGAGGGTCTTTTGATTATGTATGTGTGTTGATACTTTTCTTTTCAGGATTTCAAAGCCAAATAACCCCTTAATGGAATTCAGCTCAAGGTTTGAAGACTTCCTAGCTTGTCCTATGGACCTCAACACCACGAACCACAAATTGCAAATTTAATAGGTCATTTTGTATCAAAAGGTCAATTATGAAGCACCTAGAATTTTTCAATTAAGAGAATATATTCTCTGGGTTCTGCCATGGCCCAGACAGTGTTAACGTTTTTTTTTTTTTCTATTGTGGGTTTTGATTTTTTCCCCCCAGAAATTGGTTTTATTTGATGTACCCAAGTCTTAAGTTTCTCAATAAAGAAAAAAACCTCCATAAAACTGCCTCTGTCTTATGTTTTCCTCTGACCACCATTTTATTCTATAAATTCCAGTTTTTACTGGAAGTAAGTTTAGGATGTAGAGTCAAATGAAGTTCTGTATAGTTTATCGTCCTTTCCTGATGGTTATAAGCAGACTATTTTGTGTTAGTAAGGTGTGCAGAACTGTCTCACTGCATTCTGTTGTGGGAGGACCCTTATATTGGGAACAGAAAAGACCTTGAGTCTGGCACAGGAAAGCTGGGGTACAGGGTGGGGTTGACGTGTTGCAAGGATGTATGGTGAGAGATGCAGAGCCTGGCCTCTCCTGTCTTGGACTGTGTTGGTTGGGGTCTCAGTCCCCTCTCTTTCTTACTGCCAATTTATCCTGCAAGCAAGTCAGCATATCCAGTTGCCCAGATTCTGCAACTAAGCTTTCCTGTGGCAATGGGAAAAGGCTCAGGAGATAGGTCTGAGTGACAGTAGCGAACAAGTGCTGAAGTCCTAAGGGTTTTGTGTCCCTTTAGACCTGAAAACGACCATAATCTGGCCAAGGTCACCCAGTCGACTTGCCCTCCCTGCCCTCCAGCAGCACTTCCTTTTTCCCTTTCTCGAAACTTGGCAGGCTGTCCTTCCTCCGGGCCTTACCCAGGTGTCCCTTTCCCTGGAATGTTCTCCCCTGGTTCTTGCCTCTTGGCCGGCTCCCCCTTTTCCTTAAGGGTCTAGTCTCACCTTAAGTAACTGATCTAAAGGCCCAGTCTAAAGTAGATTCCCCTGTTTCCTGACGGCCGCGGTTCATGTGACCGTGGACTGTTTATTTTCTTTTAACGCCCGGCTGCCCCGCGCCCCACGCCCCGCAGCGCCCAGGCGGTGCGGGCGTCTGCGCCTTCGGCCGAGGGGGCAGGGAGGGGGCGGGGCCCGGCTGCTGGCTTCCGGCGGAAGAGCTGAGAGCAAGATGGCTGCCACCAAGAGGGTGCTGTACGTGGGTGAGCCGGCGTGGGGTCTTCACGAGCCGGGGGTCGATCGAGTGGAGGTTGTGGGCTGTGGGCGGCGGGGTCTGGGTGCGGCCCTAGGCGGCGTGAGGGGGCACAGCCGGGTCTCTTGCTGGGCTTTACCCCGCAGCCTGCGGACGGCGCCCGCGGCCTGACGGCTTTGCTGGTTCTACCTAGCGCTGTCTAGAGCCCTTTCCCCTCTGACCCTGGACCCAGAGAGGTGGTGAGATCTGTTATTGTGACCTCAGACCCCAACGCAAACTCGCACGCCCAGTCGTTCCGCAAACGCCGCAGCTCTGGCCCCTTAGATGAAGAAGAAGCTGGGGAATTAAGGAAACAGCTTCACTGTGCGGGTTGGTGAGCACTACGATGTGGTGGTTTGACGAGGATTGGGGAAAGGTGAGGGCAAACTGCCCGGAGGCGCTGAGGCCAGAGCTGGGTTTGAAAGATCAGGAGTTAGGCAGCCAGGGCGGGAGCAGGGCTGCTCCTGGGTGGAGAGCTGCAAGAGCAAAAGCCTAGAGTGGGGAAGTAGTCCAGCACTTGGGGGCACATAGTTGGCGTTGGGGAAGCAAGGGGAAAAGAGGCCGGAGAGGTGGGCAGTGCTCAGGTAATGAAGGTCTCATATGCCATGCTGAGGAACTTGGTCTTGTGGGCATTCGTGAGCTTTTGGAGAATATTAAGCCGGACAGTGATGTAGTCAGATGTAGAATGATGGAGTAATTCTAGTGACTGTATAGAGGAGACACAGAAACTGGAGGCAGTGAAGCTGTTACAGTAACTGGGCGCTAGATGTAGATCTGAAGAGGGATGGGGAGAGGAGTGTCATTTTTCTTTTTTCTGAGGAAGACTCGCCCTGAGCTAACATCCGTGCCCATCTTCCTCTACTTTATACGTGGGATGCCTACCACAGCATGGCCTGCCAAGCGGTGCCATATCTGCACCCGGGATCCAAACCGACGAACCCCGGGCCACCGAAGCAGAACGTGCGAACTTAACTGCTCAGCCACGAGGCCACTCCAGGAGTGTCATTTTGTATAGCCAAAAGACTGTGGGGACCCCTTCTTCCCCGGCCTGTGGCTGTCTTGCTAACAGAGTGTTGCAGCAGCTGTACCAAGAGGGTGGAGGACATTGGTTCAGAAGGTGCTTGTTGTCTTTGCAGGTGGGCTGGCAGAGGAGGTGGATGACAAAGTTCTTCATGCTGCTTTTATTCCTTTTGGAGACATCACAGATATTCAGATTCCTCTGGATTATGAAACAGGTGAGTCCTTTCAGTGTCTCTCATGTTCAGATTCCTAATGCCAGGAGAAGAACTTGAGAAAAAATCTTAAGTCATGTGTGTTTCATATGTTATTGGTATGTAATGAAGTTCAGGAGGATGTCTCTCTAGGTAAACATGACTGTGATCTTGGTGATGGAAAAGGAACATTCTGAGGACAACTAGGACAGGATGGCGATGAGGCTGTGGGCAATTTACAGAGACTGACAGTTGGTGGTTTGGAGGAGAGACTTTCTCCACGTTGGAACCATTTGGGGGCTTTGATTTCTGATCATTTAATATATAAACTGTATAGTAAGAATCAGGAGGAAGATAGTCTTAGAAAGACCTTGAAAGGTCTGGGTGTTGTTTCACTCCACCTGCTGGGTAGCTGTACCCCACCGCCCCTGCCAGCCAGACCTCCCTTCTTGGCAGCTGTGCTTTTAAGTGGCAAAGGGCAGCAGGGAAGCGCGGCCCTGACAGTGGGGCCTTGGCCTCGGCCTCTGCTCGCCTCGGTGAGTTTTCCTTCCGTTGGTATCACAGTTACAGTGCACGTTCCTTGGTTGTGATTTTCTAAGATAGGAGTTTTAGACCTAACTCTGCCACTAACTTTGTGTGTGTCACACTTAAAACTCTCTATGCCTTCTGTTTTTCAATTCTTCAATGAAACAGTAAGAATGGCTTTTTGGGGCCCTTCTACCTCTGAGTTCTTTTTTTTTTCTTGTTCTGAATTGCTCGGTGTTATTTTTTTTATTGAGGTAATACTGGTTTATAACATTATGTAAATTTCAGGTGTACATCGTTATATTTCGATTTCTGTGTAGACTGTATTGTGTTCACCACCCAAAATCTAATTGCCAGTCTGTCAATTGCCATCTGTCACTGTACACATGTGCCTATAACCCCTTTTGCCTTCCTCCTTCCCTGCTTCCCCTCAGTAACCACCAGTCTGTTCTCTTTGTCTATGTAGTTGTTTGCTGTTGTTTTTATCTTCCATTCATGAGTGAAATCATACGGTATTTCACTCTCTCTAACTTATTTCACTTAGCATAATACACTCAAGGTCCATCCGTGTTGTCACAAATGGCAAGATTTCATCTTTTTTTTATGGCTGACTAGTATTCCAGAGAGTGTGTGTGTGTGTGTGTGTGTGTACACACCACATCTTTTTTATTCATTCGTCCATTGATGGGCACTTAGGTTGTTTCCAAGTCTTGGCTGTTGTGAATAATGCTGTGGTGAACATACGCGTGTGTATATCTTTTCAAATTAGTGTTTTCATATTCTTTGGGTAAATATCCAGAAGTGGAATAGCTGGATCATATGGTAGTTCTATTCTTAATTTTTGAGGACTCTCCATACTCCATACTATCTCCATAGTGGCTGCACCAGTTTGCATTCCCACCAGCAGTGTATGAGAGTTCTCTTTTCTCCACATCCTCTCCAACACTTGTTGTTTCTTGTCTTAATTATAGCCATTCTGACGGGTGTGAGGTGATATCTCGTTGTAATTTTGATTTGCGTTTCAGTAATAATTAGTGATTTTGAGCATCTTTTCCTGTGCCTGTTGGCCATCTGTATATCTTCTTTGGAAAAATGTTCAGATCCTTTGCCCATTTTTTTGTTTTTCCTCCCCAAAGCCCCAGTGTGTAGTACATGGTTCTTCTATATGGGATGCTGCCACAGCATGGCTTGACAAGTGGTGCATAGGTCCACGCCCAGGATCCGAACAGGTGGACCCCGGGCCACGGAAGCAGAGTACATGAACTTAACCATTACGCTACTGGGCTGGCCCCAGCCTTTGCCCATTTTTTAATTGGGTTGTTTGTTTGTTGTTGAGCCTGAGTTCTTTAAATTAGTAACTTCTATTGCTCTTGCTCTCCACCAGCTAAAAAAATTGTTTCCTGAGAACAAGCACTGTACTCCCTTCTTTAGTAGTCACCTAACTCCGTAATGAGGTCACTGCTCTGTACATAGTTATGCTTAATTGGAATGAACACTTGACAGATCAATAACTTTTTCTACTTTCTATAGGTCTTATAAGCAAAGGTGATCAAAATGCTTGGAAAGTAACTTAAGGTTTCAATTCTCTAGTGGTAGAATTGGATACTACAAAGTTTAAAATTTTAGTTCAGGGGCCAGCCCCATGGCTAAGTGGTTAGGTTTGCGCACTCTGCTTTAGTGGCCAAGGATTTTGCTGATTCGAATCCTGGGTGTGGACATGGCACCGCTCATCGGGCCGTGCTGAGGTGGCGTCCCACATGCCACAAGTAGAAGGACCCACAACTAAAAATACATAACTATGTACCGGGGGGCTTTGGGGAGAAAAAGGAAAAATAAAATCTTAAAAAAAAAATTTAGTTCACTATGTAGCTATGTTTATTTAAAACAAACAAAATGACTTTAATATTTCTGGAAGCATTGTTGACTAAACCAAGAAAAGTCTAAAAGTTAGATTTTCACTTTTTAAATGGCATCTTTGTATGGCATGTTTCCTCCTACTGCCCACAAATTAACTACCCATTTCTGCTATTGTAGAAAAGCACCGAGGATTTGCTTTTGTTGAATTCGAGTTGGCAGAGGTAAGAAATTTTCCCTGTTTAGTATTTGGCTAGTGTTGCTTACAAAAGGTGCTGCTCTGTTTGGGTGGGTACAGTAGTCTCCTGGGGCTGCCGTAACAAATTCCCACAAACTTGGTGGCTTGAAACAACGGAAATTTATTCTCTCAGCTTTGGAGCCTAGAAGTATGAAATCAGGATATTGACAGAGCCATGCTCCCTCTGAAGGCTCTAGAGAAGAATCCTTCCCTTTCCAGCCTCTGGTGATTCCTGGCTTTCCTTGGCTTGTAGCTGCAGCACTCCAGTGTCTGCCCGAGTCTTCATATGGCCTTCTTCCCTGCATGTGTCTCTCTGTGTCTTCTCTTCCTATAAGGACACTAGTCATTGTTTTCAGGGCCCACCCTGATCCAGTAGGACATCATCTTAACTAATTACATGTGCAAAGACCCTATTTCTAAGGTTTGAGTAAACATGAAATTTTGGAGGACACTATTTAACCCCTTACAGTGGCTTGGTGGTAACATTTGCCAAGAGGTAGGAAGTTCTGCTTGAAGCAAGACCCACTAGGCCTGACTCAAAATTCCCCTCACTTAGTCAGAATGTGGCAGACAGATCCTGCAGAGCCCTCAGCCTCTGGCCTGGCATTGCTAATTCCTGTTTCCTATGCATATTCTCTGTCTCCGTAACACGAGCACACATCCTTACAGCACCAGCTCTAACAAGTGGTTAGTACATACTTTTTGTTAAATACACACAATCTTGGCAGATAGGAAGGGAAAATGTGTCTTTTTCCCTGTGCCTGCAGTACTGAGTTTTTATCTGAGTGCTGACTACAAAAAGAGTTGAACTGCAGACGTGAACTTTTTCCTTGTATTCTTTTCAGGATGCTGCAGCAGCCATCGACAACATGGTATGGTGGAGATCTTTGCTTTTTACTAAAGCTGTCATTTGGTGCTACTTTATAGTAAATGGGACGCTCGTGCACATGTTGGGTTTCCAGTTTCCACAGTTTCAAAGTTATGTAGGAAGCAAAAGTTGTCATTATTTGGAAGTATTCGCTATGAACTGTCTACTTAGAAAATTAATTATTATTCAGAAATCCTCCCCATTTAAGATGGGCATAAATACCACCATCTTTGTTGGCCAATCTTTCTCTGACTGTTTTGTATCTACAGCAGGGGTCAGCAAACTACAGTCCATAAGCCAAGTCCATCCTGCAGCCTGTTTTTGTATGGCTATGAGCTAAATGGTTTTTATATTTTTAAAGGGTTGTGGGGAAAAAAAGGAATATGCAGCAGAGACTTATGTGGCCTAAAATATTACTCTCTAGACTTTTAGAGAAAGTTTGCCGACCTCTAGTCTAGGACAGTACAGCATAAACCAATAGAGCATAAGTTAATTGCAAAGTAAAATTGTGAATCTCGAATAAGAGGTGGGATTTCGTGAAGTGTGTGAAAGTGATTGTGGAAAACTGCTGTAGTTGGCTCTGATAGGCTCTCAGAAAGTGAAACCAGCTAACGACTGAGGAAGAGAAAACCTACAAGGAGTATGACAGGTTGGGTGCTTCACAAGAAGATAGTTTGAATTCCTATTGCTGCTGTAACAAATTACCACAAATTTGTGGTAAAACAACACAAATGTGTTATGTTAGTTCTCTGGTCTCGCTGAGCTAAAATCAAGGCATTGGCAGGGCCTCCTTCCCCTGGAGGCTCTAGCGGAGAGAATCTGTTTCTTTGCCTTTTCCAGCTTCTAGAGCTTGACCACATTCCTTGGTTCTTGACTGGCCGGGCGAGTCTTCCTCACACTCCATCACTCTGAAACTAACTCTTCTGTCTCTCTCTTCATGTTTAGAGGATCCTTGTGATTACATTGGGCCCATCTGAATAATCCAGGATAATATCTTTATTTTAAGGTCAGCTAACTTACAGCCTTAATTCCTCCTTGCCATGTAACATAGCATATTCACAGGTTCTGGCGGGTAAAATGTGGACATCTTTAGGGTGGCCATTATTTTGCCTACTACAAAACCCTGAAATGTTTTTGCCCTTTTTAAAAAATCTTTATGATCAGTCTTCATGACTAAATATGAAATAAGGATGTTGTTTCATGCTATCGTTCAATTTTTTTTAATTGCTGGAAAAAAGACTAGTATCTTATTCATCTTTGTTTCTAAGAGCAAGGGCATAGCTGTAATTATAACCTAAATCTTCCTTAATTAAGGAATCCTTTTTCATACATTTTTTTAGTTGTTGTCAAAAGGCCCAAAACAAACCTTTATAAAGGTCTGTCTACTTACCTTTTCCTAGTATCGGTTATTCTTGGATAATACAATATTCCTACATTTCGTTCTATGTTCTCTCTTACTCTTTCATCAAACGTATCCCTCAACAGTCAGCAGTAGCATTTTTCTCCAGTTCAGTGCTGATCTTGGCTTTTCACGATAGACTCAGGTACTTGGTGACTGCGTTTACCCTTATAATTTCAGAGTTCTGGACTCAAATCCAAAGATCATGGCAGCACAGACCTTCTTGTCTGTCGGTGTGGAGAGAAAGGAAGTGTGTGGTGGCTTAGGGCCTTTTTGTGGTTAGCCTCACGCTTGGCTTGCCTTCAGGGTGCAGGCTTGCCACTTAGAATAATCATTAGCAAGTCTCAGACTTTGTAGATGTCAGTGGAAAGCTGTCAGGTATTCTTTGATCCTAAAAAGTTTTAAGCAGCTGATTGTATTGCAATCTTTTCAGAATGAATCTGAACTCTTTGGGCGGACAATTCGTGTCAATTTGGCCAAACCAATGAGAATTAAGGAAGGCTCTTCCAGACCAGGTGAGTGGGGGCAACTGTGGATTCCCATCATTCTTTGGCTTTGACCTCTGTTGCATTTTTATTCCTGTCTGTGGTGGTAGTATGTACACGAGTAGAGTGGTTTATAGTGGAGAAGAGAATGCAGCACCTCCGTGGAAATAAAGGGTTTGAGATTCTCTGCAGAGCTGGAGGCATTGTCCTTGTGGAAGTCTTGCTTTGGCAGGTAGACATAGACTGCCCTTGCAGCCTTGACAGGGGCTGGGACTTCCCTTTTGGCCTGGCTTAGTCCCTCCTTATTCTCCTCCACTTCTGCTAAGAGCTAGACGTGAAGTCTTGACATCTCCCAGTGACAACTTTCCTTGCCCTGGGAGTTCCTAAGAGGTGACTTTTGCCTGCATGAGAGCCACATAGTGTGTCCACTTTGCTGACTCAAGCAGCAAAGAACTGGACATAGCTAATTAGCAGTTGGCTGATAGCTTGAGTTTCTTCACGTTTGTTTGATTCTTTCCCTGCAGTTTGGTCAGATGATGACTGGTTGAGGAAGTTTTCTGGGAAGACTCTTGAAGAGAATAAAGAGGAAGAAGGGTCAGAGCCTCCCAAAGTGGAAACCCAGGAGGTGAGATTGAAGGCTGGGCTTCCAGAGAGAAGGCTGGCGCTTTCCACCCAGGGCCCTTCTGATGTGGGTGGCTTGGGGGAGTTGAATGGACAAGCATTGGGTCTCTCGTCCTTGTAGGGCTCTAGGTGAGAAGTATTGTGTGTGTGCTCGGATATTTGTGTTGCCGTTGAATGAGAGGATGTCTGAGATGAGAAAGGACAGTGAGTGTCCCTCCTTACCGGCACCCACTGTCCTCCTGATCTTTCCTGCTCCCTCACTGAAGACTTTGGCAGCAGGCTCACTGTCTTCCTATTCCTGCCCTGATTCCACGGAGGCCCCTTGCCCTCAGTCTGTACCCGGTACAAGGCTCTCCCTGCCTCGGCACTTTCTCCTGCTTCTCGACACACCATCCTGACGTTGCTTCTGGGGATAATTCAGAGGCTTGTCCTCCTCTCTCCACCCTTTGAACAGTGGTGTTTCTCTAAGTTCCTTCCTGAGCCCTCAGCTTCTCTCTCCACACTGTCCTTGTGCAGTCTCAGCCACTTTTGTCCCTTTTGAGGATCACACTCACTCCATGTTCTGGTGACTTCCTGATCCCTAGTTCTAGTCCTGACTGAGTTTCACATATTTCTGCCTGGATGTCCCACAGTCACTGTAAATAAACAAAGCATATCCCAAGTGTATTTCCTCCCTCTGTTCACTCTGGTCTTCCTGTGTGCCGGATTTTAGTTGATTTCGCCATCTTCCACGTGGTCACCCAAACCAGAAACCTCAGCGTCATCTTAGACCCCTCGTTCTAATTCAGACCTAGTGCATTGCCACATCCTGCTAATTTTATCCTGTAAGTCTTCCTGAATCTCGTCGCCCGTTTGTTCCTGCCACTTTGCCTTGGCTTAGCCTCTATCATCTCTCCTGTGAATACTGATAGTAGCTTCCTAACTGGTCTCGCTGCCCCAGGCCTGCTTCCTCCTGTCCTGAGCAGCCATGGGGAGCTTTCTAGATCTTTCATAGATCTGACAGTACCGCTCCCCTCAAGCATTCTTGGGACCCCCTCATCTATAGGATTGAGTCCGGCTCCATCAGAGGGAGAGAAGGGCTCTGCATGTTCTGACCCTGTTCATCTCTCCACGTTGGATCCCCATTATATATAGGAAGAAACAGGGGTTTGTAGTTACCTGTAAATCTCTGTGTTTTTGCATAAGCAGTTCCTTTACCTAAAATGCCCTTTCCAACCTATTTTAACTCCTGCTCACCTTTCATAGCTGAGCTCAGTTGCTGCTTTCTCCAGGAAACTCTTCTGAATCTTCCTATTGAGTGAGTAGGAGTCCCTTCTGGCTTCCATGACCTCTGGGCTTCTGTCTTAGTATTTACTGCGTTGTTTTGCTGTTCCTTATTTAACAAATATTTAAATATATGTTTAATGTTTAAATATTTTTAAATATGTTTAAACATTACTTACTCTATGCTGTTATAAGTGTTTTCTAAATATTTAATCCTATTGATAATCCTATGAAATATGTCCTATCGTTATCCCCAATTCTAGGTGATGAAACAGGGACACAATGAGGTGAAATAACTTGTCAGACATTGCACAGCTTGTAAGTGGTGGAGCTGAAACGTGAACTGAGACTGTTTAGCTCTAGGATCTGTACTCGCCTCACATTGGTGGCCATCCCTCCCCCACAGGATAGCCGATTCCTCAAGGGCAGGAGCCATATCTGTTTATTTAATAACCCCTTCCTTGGCTTGATAGCTCAGTATCTATACAATGACCCACTAATCCACACTACAAAGAGGTCAGAGACAATAGAGTTTCCTCTGACAAACAAATGGGAGGGTTTGTATTGACTGTTTTATTTATCGTCTAGTCAGCCTTGTCCAGTTGGAGCACAAAGCAAGGCCCAACCTCCTCCATTGTCTTCTGAGCACTTGGGCCCAGGCCAGAGGGCTGCCCTCCTTGCTTCCATTGCTGCCAGTCTATGAATATGTAGGGTTAGGCATAGAGGGAGAAGGTTATGGGTCACTTTAGCTGGAGTAAGGTGGGTGGGCTTGAACTGAGGTTTGCAGATATTGAGAGTTGGGTATTGTGGGCCAGGGAAGTGTTCTGTGAGTGCAGGGCAGGGTGAAGCATGGTGACCTCTCTGCGGGCCAGTGTGACGAGATAACATGTGCCTGCAGGGTGGGGCTTGAGTAGATAGTGCTGAGATGTCCTGTCACTAGACATCCAGCTGGGTGCTGTGGCTGTCGCCCCTGCCTTCTGTGGCCCCGTTGGGTCCCAAGGCCTTCCCTGTGAGCACCTTGCTGCAGCCTGCTCGCTGCAGCCTGCTCGCTGCAGCTGGGTTCTGGGTGTATGTTCAGAAGAATACTCGCTCTCCTGCTCGGGGAGTTGGGGAGTTCTGTCTAACCTGGCGATTTCTTCTGTGCCCAGGGAGAGCCTGCTGCAAAAAAGGCCCGGTCAAACCCTCAGGTGTACATGGACATCAAGATTGGGAACAAGCCAGCCGGCCGCATCCAGATGCTCCTGCGTTCAGACGTCGTTCCCATGACAGCAGGTGAGCAGGGCTCCCGTCAGGATGGCCAGGAAGCTGGTGGCTGAGCAGGCTGGGAAGAAGCTGCCTCGAATCTTGGGCCCTTGACTCTCTTTCTACCTGAGTCCATCTGAGGCATTTCGGATCCCAGCATCTAATAACAAATGAGACAGAGCGGGCGTTTTTGAAACTGTAAAGGTTTAGTACCATTAGAAAGAGTAAGCAGTTGAAAGTTATAAATTGTTTTAATTACCCTCTGGTTTGGTTTTATTGTATTTTTTGATAGTTTTGTTTTGATATATTTTCAAACTTACAGACATATTGAATAAGAATTCCGTAAGAATAGTACAAGAATATGTACTTTTATGTACGTTGGTAGGTACTCATATGTCCTTTATCCATTAATTAATGTATTTTTTACCCTCTATACTTTATCATTTTATTTATATATACACATACATATATATATTTTTCCCCCTATAGAGAGGAAGTTGAAAACATCATGCCCCTTGACTCCTAAATACTTCAATATATATTTCCTAAGAACAAGAATATTCCCTTACATAATCACAGTAAAACCATCAAAATCAGGGAATTTAACATTAATACAACACTATAACTAACCTTCAGGCCGTATGCAAATTTCACCACTTAGCCCAATATTAGTCTTTATAGTAATTTTAGCGATTTTTCTTGCCTGTCAAGGATTCACATATCATATTTAGTTGTCTAGTCTCTGTAGTCTCTCAGTTTTTCATTGTCACTCTTGATCCTGACGTCCTTGAAAGAGGACAAGCCAGTTGTGTTTAAGATTGTTTCTCCGCTTGTCTTTGCCTGGTCCGTTTTCATGATTAGATTTAGGTTGTGTTTTGGCAGGAATGCCACAGAAGAATGTTGTTTCCTTGTTGGTGCGTCCTATAAGGAAGCACGTAATGTCAGTTCCGTATTTGTGATGTTAACTTTGATCACTTGCTTAAAGAGATCTCTGCCAGTGGAGATACCATGACGTTCTTCTGCTCTCCCAACATCGTAATTTTTCTGCCCTGCAAGAGGCAAGGTTCTTTTAATTTCTTCTAAAGGGTGATTATTTTGGTTTTTATTGCCAAAATTGGCTTTTAGCTCTGAAAAATTTATTTACGTTACTGCTACTTGATTTTTTTCAGTTTTTGGCTGTTTTAGGTCAGTTTTTTGGGAAACAGACTCATGGAGATTCGCGCGCAGGAAGTTTATCAGGGAGTCATCTCAGGAAGAACTCGTGAGGGGACGAGGGGAGCAGGTGGGGAGAGGGGACTTGAACTGCAGTGCAGTGGCGCAGAGACCTCGGCTGATCCCAGGGGGAGTTTTGGAGCTTGGCTATCCCTTCAGAATATCCAGTTCTGAATTGAGACCAGGGTGCCAGGCCTTTGTACCCTCACATGGACAAGTCATGAATTCTGGCGGATTCCCACGAGTAGTGAGGAAAGTTAGTGGAATGAACTGTAGTCCCCTTATGCTGTTGGTCCCAGAATCACAAATGATACTCATCGTCTCTCTCTTCTACCACCATTTTAGGTTCCTCTCACCCTCATCTGGCTCCTCTGCTAGTCTAATGGCTTAGTTGTTGAGGTGACCTTGACTTTTAACCAAGGGGATTTGAGCTCCTTGTCATTGTGCCCTTCCCAGGCCATGGCTGCCCATCAGAATTGGGCAGGGGAATACAAGAGATGTCCCAGTGGATCCCCTGGGTGCCAAACATTCAGATCAGCCTACTGTGTAACAGCATACCAGCCTCCTGATGACCAGGGTCAAGCATCCCACCAAGATGATGACTCCTTTTCTTACCTGCTTGTCTTCTGGCACAAGGAGGCTGAGGTGATCAAGCAGCAGCATGGCTTAAAGTTTAATAGGATGCTGGTGGTCTCCACTGGTGAAAGTGTACTTTCTGGGAGCCAGGACCTCTAGACCCACAGATCCTTGAGTTTCAGGGATGGAAAGTAGGAGTGATGGTAAGCAGGGCCATTCCAACTTCTACATCTTGGTTCCTGGACCCCCACGGACACAGCACTCTGTAAGGATCACTGATTTAGAGCGTATACGGGGCTACCCTCACAGGGTATCATTTCTAAATTGGCATCTCAGTTGCACCTTAAGGCCTTCCGTCTGTCAGTCAGTTCTGAATGGTGTGGTATGTGATGGGAACAGCGGGTCGAAGTTTGTGTGCTCACTGCTGCACCTCCTTTCCTGTAAAGTGTGTCCTTTGGTTTGATGCAGTTTCCTATGTTATTTGATCAGACGCTGTGTAAGCACTTGGATAGTGGTGTCGGCTGAACCCCTGTAGACAATAAAAGCAAACCCATATTCAGAATATTTGCTGATGCTTGTCAAGGTGAATTATTGCCCCTCCAGGGTAGAAGTGCCTGGCTGGTCCTGAAGGATGGGGGCACTCAACATTGGTCTCAATCATCAGTAGTTTGGACATTTGGTAGCAGTAGCAGCTGGATCAGCCTTGGTGAGTGAAGCCAGTATTTTTGGTCTCATGTATTGCCTCCGTTTCCTTCATCGTGACTACTTTGTTCTTGCACCCATTCGGCCAGCACTATGGCCAATGAGAGAGGCTGGCTGATGTCAGCTCGCTGAGTCTTTCTGTTTACCTGGTTGTTTAACGTCTCCTCTGTGGTGGCTGTTGTCTGGTGGACATTAACCTCAAAGATGTTCAGACTTTGTGCCCACTCACACAGTTCCATCCACATGCCTCTTCCCCATCCCTTCTTGTCTCTAGTCTTCCAGTCTGTTTTCTTCCGGATTCCTGGTCTACTATCCAGGCCATTTGTCACTTCCCTTGAGTTTGTATATATTCTTACTTGGGCCCCTTTTCTTTCCATGCAAAGTGGATAACCAGGTTGTGGCCTGTAGCTCTGCCCTTTGAGAGGGTTTCCCCGCATTACTGTGTTTTGGGGCCACCCTTGAATAGGGCTGTCATGCAGCAGCAGTCCACTTTCGCCTTGTCCCCGTGTACCGAGCCAACCCATCAGTGAACCAGGCCCATCCTTTCTCTTCCTGTGTCACCTCGTCCTAGGGGCCCTCCATATGGCTGTAGGTGGGAACTGAAGGAGAGGTGTGGGTACAACAATGGTGGGTGACGTGCGGTGTCTGGTCACCTGCCCATCCAGCTTGTTTGTGCCCTCTGGCCATGCTTGTGCCTGATCCTTAATGCAGCATTTCTCTCGTACAGCAGATTGCTGCTGGGCCTGCCAATCCTTAAGACTTGGTGGGCACAACCAAATCCAGCTCACAGTGGACGTTCTGGCTACATGGTCACTCGATGTTACATAGTTAGGTATTCTCTCTCTACCAGAGCCCAGTGCCATGCCGGAAACTGTTTTCAAATGGTTGACATTTGAAAAAATGTCAAGCCTATAGAAAAGTTGCATGAGTGTAATAAATAGTCATATACCCTTCATGTATATTCACTCGTCGTTAAAATTTGCTCTCTATCTAAATATGTATATGATGATTACTTGCTCTGTCATTTGAAAGTAAGGTGCAGTAACTGTTACCTGTCACCCCTAAGTGCTTCAGCATGTGTCTCCTAAGAGCAGGGGTATCATCTTATATGATCATGGTACAATGATCAATTCAGGGAGTTGAACACTGATACGATCTAATACATAACCTGTAATCAGATTCTGTTAATTGTGCCACTACTGTCCTTCATAGCAACCTTCTCCCCCAAATCCAGAGTCATGCATTGTGTTTAGTTGTCATATCAGGTTAGTCTCCTTTAATCTGGAACTGTTCCTCAGCCCTTGTCTTTTATGACATTGCCATTTTTTAAGACTCCAGGCCAGTTGTTTTATAGAATGTTCCTTATTTGAGTTTGATTGTTTCCTCATGATTAGATTCAGGTTATTTGGGGCCTACTTTGGAAGACTACAAAAGTGACCTGTCTCCATGTGTCACTAACATTGGTTTTTCCATTACTGGGGAGGGTCACTTGGTTAAGGTTGTGTCTGCCAGTTTTTCCCCCTCAGAAGGTGCCTTTTCTCCCCTTTGGATTTGATAAGTGATTTGTGGGGAGGCACTGTGAGACTTTCCAGGCGGTGAAAAGTACCCTTTTTTTGATTCTAGCCTAAATCAATTATTACTGTGATAGTAATTTTCTAACTATTATTCCCTCTACATTTAGAAAAATTAGCATTTCTATGTTTATTGTAGTTAGCATTCTGCTATAAGTAAGAGCATTTTCTTCCTCGCACCCCTTTCTTTCTTTGTTATGTTAGTAGTTGGTGTGTTAGTGTGGACTCATGAGTCTTTGCGTTCAGTGTGTTACTCTCCACTCTAGTCACTCACTCGTCAGTAGCTCAGGTGGTCGTAGTGTGGCTATAGGGAGCCCCCTCAAGCTTGCTCCTGTATCCATTTGACATTCACCATCATTTTTTGAGCACTTCTTTACTTTCTGCTACAATAAGATGATCCAGGCTTATCTTGTATTCTCTTTGCTCTGACCCTGGAATTAGCCATCTCTCTACGAAGCTCCTGTTCCTTTTAGTAGGAAATAATAATTAGAAATCAAGATCTGGATCCTGAGTATGTACACTGTTCCCAGGATGCCACCGATTCCAGGCCCTTTCAGCGTGTGGCTAAGAAGTGTGTGCATCTGTCTGTATACGTGTGTGTGTGTGTGTGTGTATTTTTAAATCCTGAGTTCATACCAATACTCTTAATTTCAATCTAATCCTCCAGGGTTCTTTCCTGCCATATTTGTATCCCCTTTGTCCCACAATAAGAGCCTTGGATCCCAATAACATCAATATATTCATTTATTTGCTGAATCCTCCAATACAGAATAGTTTCAGAATTGCTACAATCATACCACTACTGACAAGCAATTTCTTTGCAGTTCTTTTTCTTTAGTCTGTAAAGAATCCGAATACTGTGTTCAAAAGTTCTTGGATTCCCTTTGTTTACCTTCTGCAAGGTTAAGTTATCCATTTAACTCAAGTTCATTTGTTTCTGTTTGTGTTCAGTTTTAGGGTTTCTTAGAAGAATCCAACCCATGTTGTCCTCTAGTAGTTGTAATTTTTTTTCTTTACATTTAGATATCTGATCCATTTGAAGTTTATTCTTGCAGCGAGGTGAGATGTGGATCCAATTTTCACCTTTTTTCAAATGTTTATTTAGTTGTCCCAACATCATTTTGTAAAACATCCATCTTTGCCCCAGTGGTGTTAAGATGCCAACTTCTGTGAAATACCGAATGTCCATATGTACCTGGGTCTGCTTCTCTACTCTCTGTTCTCTTCAGTCTATCTGGGTCTATCCAGTAACTACACTTAAAGGTTCAATTGAAATAAACATTATATGCACTTTTTTAGATTCTGAGAGCTAGAGTTTTAACTATCAAGTTAGATATTTCTAACCTCAGCGCGTTTTCCTTGTGGACCGCAGAGAACTTCCGGTGCCTGTGCACCCACGAGAAGGGCTTTGGCTTCAAGGGCAGCAGCTTCCACCGCATCATCCCCCAGTTCATGTGCCAGGGCGGCGACTTCACGAACCACAACGGCACCGGTGGCAAGTCCATCTACGGGAAGAAGTTTGATGACGAAAACTTCATCCTCAAACACACGGGGCCAGGTGGGACCGGGGGCGGGTGGTGGCGCGTGGGGCCGGGCTGGGGCAGGATGGTGTGCTGGGCAGAGTGACGGCTGCGGCTCTGGCTGAGGGCTTGGGGTCTGGGGGAGACTCGGGGCAGAGGAGAGGCGCTCCGCCTGGCTGGAGCTTTAGGCTTGTGAAGGTTTCTTTGTTTTTTATTTTGTCTTATTTAGTTCCTTTTTACCTCCTTTTGAGAGGAAGAGGCATGGCAGCCTGGTTCTGCTGCTACAGTTGTTATTGTTTTTGTAACTTTTTATCTTATATAGTTTCAAGTGTACAGAAAAGTTATAAGAATAGGAACCCCCGTAAACCTTTACATGATTTTCTGAAACAGTGAAAACCTCTTGGTAAAATTCTGAACAGAAAGAAATTAAATGTTCCTTCAGTTTACATGGTGGGTGTATTTCTGGAAAAATTCAATGCGAAAACATAAGTCTTTGGATTTATATGTAAAATGGAGTTAGGTTCTAGGGTCAGATCATTATAAACAGATTTTTCTCATCTGCATGAATGTTTGTCAGGGCATAGAGTCTCAGGGGATTTAGAATACTTCTGCACTGGGGGGACATTGCAGGACATCTAGACTTCCTTGCTCCCTTCCTGCTAATGCCCACAGCACCCCCAGGATTGCTGACAACCTAAAGTGTACCTTAAGTTTCCAAATAGCCTCGAGGGGGCAGCATTACCCTGGTTAAAATCCCGTCCCGTCCAGGGCTTTCAGTCCTATCTCCTGAACTGATCCTGCCCACATGTAGGTGTGCATGCCATTTCTCCCTGTCGTCCTCCCGTGGGCATCCCACGGGTGTCTGGAACGTCACAAACCTGAACATCTCTTCCTCTTCTCCCCCACATTCTCCCTCCCCCCTTCCCTGTGGCGGTCAGTGACACCACCAGCCACCTGGCTGCTTGGTCAGAAACTTAGGACCCGTCCTCATCCCCTCTCCTCCGTCACCCGTGCATCAGGTCATCTGTCTCTCAAATCCCCTCCTGGTCGAGCCGCTCTTCACCCGTCCTCCACCATCAGGGTCCTCCAAGCCCACCTCCTTGTTTCTGCTTTTGCCTCTTCCCCCTCATAGTCTGATCTTTGAGAGGTAGACAGAGCAATCACTTTAAAGCATAAATCCGATCACATGATTCTCCTGCTAATAGCCCCCCTGTGGCCACATGGTGGATCGCATCCAGGCCTGCAGAGCTGGACCCGACAGGCCTGGGGCTTCACACCTCCCCCCAGCACGGAATGTGCTGCTCCTGCCCTCCTCCTGCCCTCCGCACCCTGGCTGTTCCTCAGGCACCGGAGCTGACTTCCCACTGGGGCCTCAGCAAATGCCGCTGCCTCTCTGGAGCATCCTCCCTCCAGCACACACAGGGCTCACCCTCACTTCCTTCAGTGTCGCACGTGTCACTTCAACTGAGAGGGCTGCCCTCTCTAAAATTAGGGCCATTCCTATCATCTCACTCTTCTTTTTAGTCAGCTTTATTTTTCTAACTTTACTTAATACCCAAAACTGTGTTATAAATTTATTCTTCTATTTATTAATTTTTTGTCTCCCTTTTGAGAATGTCAGCCTCCTGAGGGTAGGACTCAGTTTTTCTTGTTCACCATTGTACCATTGTATTCTGTAACAGCATTGGCTCATAGTAAACACACAATAAATAGCTGAATATTTAAATATTTCAAACATATTCACAGGTCAGATCTGTTATGTGTCAGGCACTCTGATGGACTCTGGCATTGAGAATGGAAAGAGACGGTCCCCATCCGAAGGGAGCACACGATCTAGATGCCCAGCCAGGAAGACTGGGCTTTCTCCTTGTCACAGGGGGCTGTGGCTCCTTGTGCCCCGTTAACTCTGCCAAACCTGGGCCTTTTAGACTAAACTCAGATGTCTAGAAAGCCTTGGTGACTGCTGTCACCATTGTGTCTGTGGGTCTGTCTGTCTGTCTTAGGTGACTGTCTCTTATGCTCCCATGTGCTGAATAAATGTCTGTGCCACTAGGCTTTGCTATTTTGTAGTGTAATTGTTATTCTTTTTAACAGCTTTATTGGGATACAATTCACATACCATTCAGTTCACCTATTTAAAATATACATTTCAGTAGTTTTTAATGTATTCACAGTTATGCAACCATGACCACAGATAATCTTAGAACATTTTCATCACCCCAAAAAGAAACCCCACAACTTTTAGCAGCGACTCCCCAACCCCTCATCTCCCAGCCCTAGGCAAAGGCAAATTTACTTTCTGTCTTTGCCTATTCCAGACGTTTCATATAAATAGAATCATACAACATTGTAGGCTTTTGTGACTGGCTTCTTTCACTTAGCATAGTGTTTTAAAACGTTTCATCTATGATACAGCATGTATCAGTACTTAATTCTTTTTTATTGCCAATTAATATTCCACTGAATGGAAACACCACAATTTGTTTATCCATTCATATGTTGATGGACATTTGGGTTGTTTCTACTTGTTGGCTATTATGAATAATGCTGCTATGACCATTCATGCACAAGTTTTTGTGTGAACATATATTTTCATTTCTCTTGGGTGTATACCTAGAATTGGAATTGTTTGGGCATATGATAACTCTATTTTTAATTTTTTTTAAAGATTTTATTTTTACTTTTTTTCCCCAAAGCCCCCCAGTACATAGTTGTGTATTTTTAGTTGTGGGTCCTTCTAGTCATGGCATGTGGGACACCGCCTCAGTGTGGCTTGACGAGTGGTGCCATGTCCGTGCCCAGGATCCGATCAGGGAAACTCTGGGCTGCCGAAGCAGAGCGTGCAAACTTAACCACTCGGCTGCAGGGCTGGCCTTATTTTTAATATTTTGAGAAACTGCCAGACTGTTTTCCAAAGTGGCTGCACCATTTTGCATTTCCCTCAGCAATCTATGAAAGTTCCAGTTTTTCTGCATCTTTGCCAATACTTATTATCTGTCTTTTTTATTATAGTGACATGAAGTGGTATCTCATTGTGGGTTTTTTTTTTTTTTTAAAGATTTTATTTTTTCCTTTTTCTCCCCAAAGCCCCCCAGTACATAGTTGTATATTCTTCGTTGTGGGTCCTTCTAGTTGTAGCATGTGGGATGCTGCCTCAGCGTGGTTTGATGAGCAGTGCCATGTCCGTGCCCAGGATTCGAACCAACGAAACACTGGGCCGCCTGCAGCGGAGCGCACAGACTTAACCACTCGGCCACGGGGCCAGCCCCTCATTGTGGGTTTTGATTTGCATTTCCCTGATGACTAATGATGTTGAGCATCTTTTCATGTGCTTATTGGCCATTTGTATATCTTTGGGAAAATGTCTATTCAGATTCTTTACCCATTTTTTAATTGGCTTGTCTTTTTATTATTGAATTTTAAGAATTCTTTAAGTATTCTAGATATAGGTCCCTTATGAGATATTTGGTCTGCAGATATTTTCTTTCATTCTGTGGGTTGTCTTTTCACTTTCTCTGTGATGTCCTTTGAAGCACGAAAGTTTTCCTTTTGATGAAGTCCAATTTCCTTCTTTTTTCTTTTGCCTCGATACTTTTGTTGTTGTATTTAAGAAGGTTTTGTCTAACTTAAGGTTATGAAGATTTACTCCTATATTTTTTTCTAAGAGTTTTATGGCTTCAGCTTTTACGTTTAGGTCTTAGGTCCATCTTGAGTTAATTTTTGTATGTAGCGTGAGAGAAGGGGTCCAATTTCATTCTTTTGTGGATATCCAGTTGTCCTAGCCCTGTATGTTGAAAAGGCTACTCTTTTCCTGTTTAATTGTCTTGGCATCCTTGTTGAAAATCAATTGACCATAAGAGTAAGGGTTTGTTTCTGGACTTTCTATTCTATTTCATTGATCTGTGTATCTGTCCTTTGCCAGTTCCAACACTATCTTGTATTCTGTAGCTCCATAGTAAATTTTGAATTTGAGAAGGATGAGTCCTCCAGTTTGTTCTTTTTCAAGATTGTGTAGCTATTCTGAGTCTCTAGCATTTCCGTGTGAATTTTGGGATAAGCTTGTCAATTTCTGCAAAAAGGCTGGCTGAGGTTTTGATAGAGATTGCACCCAATCTCTAGATCAGTTTGGGAACTGTTGCCATCTTAGTGATATTAAGTCTCTAAGTCCATGAATAGAGGATGTCTTTCCATTTGTTTAGGTTGTCTTTAATTTCTTTCAATAACGTTTTATAGTTATAAACGTGTAAGTTTTATACTTCTTTTGAATTTATTCCTAAGTACGTATCTTATTCTTTTTGTTGCTACTATAAATGAAATTGTTTTCTTGATTTCATTTTAAGAGTGTTCATTGCTAGCGTATAGAAATACAGTTGATTTTTGTGTATTTGATCTTGTATCCTGCAACCTTGCTGAACTTGTTTTTTAGTTCTAATAGTTTTGTAGTGTATTCCTTAGGATTTTCTATATTCAAGATCGTATCATCTGCAAATAGAGATAGCTCTATATTTTCCTTTCTTTTTTCTTTTTTTTTTGAAGATCAGCCCTGAGCTAACATCTGCTGCCAGTCCTCCTCTTTTTGCTAAGGAAGACTGGCCCTGAGCTAACATCCATGCCCATCTTCCTCTACTTATATGTGGGATGCCTACCACGGCATGGCTTGCCAGTTGGTGCCATGTCTGCACCCGGCATCTGAACTCCAGCCTGCTGAAGTGGAACGTGCGCACTTAACCGCTGCACCACCAGGCTGGCCCCTACATTTTCCTTTCTAATTTGATGGTTTTTGTTTCCTCTTTTGCCTAACTGCTATGGCTAGAACCTCTAGTATGACGTCGAATAGAAGTGGGGAGGGCAGACCCCGTTGTCTTCTTCCTGATCTTACAGGGAGAGCACCGTGTGGTTTTCCTAGGTGTCCTTTATCAGCTAAAGTTCCCTCCTATCCTAGTTGTTGAGTGTTTTCATCACGAAAAGGTGTTGGACTTTGTAAATGCCTTTTCCATATCTGTTGAGATGATTATGTGGTTTTTGTCCTTTAGTCTATAGTATATTACATTGATTGGTTTTAGGATGTTAAACCAGCCTTGAATTTGAGAGACTCTTTTCCGCTAGAGCCCAAGCTCCACCATGGCTGGGACCAGTGTCCCCAGGGCTCGACAGAGAACTGGGTACCATATAGACAATAAGTATTTGTTGAATGAGTGAATGAAAGGACAAACCATATAAAATGTTTGAAACAATCCTGTTCACCATTTCATTGACCATCAAAGGAGCAGAAGACAAGACATTGGCATGGTCTGTATGTCCGAGTCTGAGCCTGCCTGGCTGAGGGAGCCAGGGTGGAGGGAGCCAACACGCTCATTCTCTCCCGCAGGCCTGCTCTCCATGGCCAACTCCGGCCCAAACACCAACGGCTCCCAGTTCTTCCTGACGTGTGACAAGACGGATTGGCTGGATGGCAAGCATGTGGTGTTTGGGGAGGTCACGGAAGGCCTGGACGTCTTGCGGCAGATTGAGGTGGGTGGCAGCCCTGGCCTTTGGTGTGCAGCCCTGCGGGAGAGCCAGCGAGGGCACTCTGTGGCCTGGGAGAGGGCCCCATTGCTTCTGTTCAGGCTGGGGGCAGAGGTCGGGTGGGTGTCCCCGAGCTGCTCCTTCCTCTCCACCTTCCATCCCCTGATTTCTCTTCTTCTGTTCCAACCGCAAAGGCCCAGGGCAGCAAGGACGGGAAGCCCAAGCAGAAGGTGATCATCGCCGACTGTGGGGAGTACGTGTGATGGGCGCTGTCTCTGTGCTGCCCCTGCGTATCCAGGAGCGTCAGCCCCAGGGAGCCAGCACCTGAGGGTGTCCCGTTTGCAGCAAGCAGGGCTTTGTGCCAGGGCCCTTCCTCGGGCCAGCGTGGGCAGCTCCTCTGCGGGCACGGCCTGGGCTCACTCTGGGCTCTTGCCCAAGTGTAGCCGTGGGCCTGGAGCTGGCACAGGCACTGCCCTCCCCACTGTGGACGGCCGTGCATGGCCTTTCTGTGGCCTCTGTGCCAGGGCATCTCCTGGGCCCTCGAGTGTGGCTCCTGGACACTCCTTCTGGTGAAATAAATCCTAGTTCTTGTTCTTCTACCTGCAGCCAGCTCCCAGGTGTTTTCAGAGGTTACAGTTGTGACTGGGCTGTGCTGCCGTGACAGACCCGAGCACCTCCCCAGGCTGGCCCTGAGGGCAGGGCAGCAGAGGTCAGCGCTGGTGCAGAAATGCCTCTCTTTGCTCTCTCCCGCTACTGGGCAGGCGAGTTGGGTTAGCCAGGCTCCATCCCTGCCCTCAGGCCTGTTGGTCTTGAGCAGAAGGTACTGGACTCAGTCTCAGGGCCCATTCCCTCATTGCTCATTCATTGAGTGAGTGTACGACCGCAGAGCCCTTCTTTTCCCAGGCACCGTGCTTGGTGCTGGGGAGACAAGAAATAAGCCAGAGGTGGTTCCTACCTCCCCTCCCTGCCCCGGTCTCACCTGGAAATCGAACTCTGGTGCCACAGTTTGTAGCTTGTGCTAGGCTGGCCTCTTGCCCTGCACCAGTGTCTGGCTAGGCAGGCCACCTCATGGCATCTCCCATGGGCTGAGGCTGAGCCCCATCCATCACCAGAGACCTCCTCCAGCGCTGCTCTGTCTGGATCAAGTGTCAACATTCAGAAACTGCTGGGCTGGGCTGGGCTGGTTCTGGGTTGAGATTGATTGCCAGATTGATCCTGGCAGGGAGGGGAGAAGCCTGCTGGCCTGTGGCCCCAGTGACCCAGGCCAGCTCCTGTCAAGGGATGGATGCTAGCCCTTCTCTGGCAGCCTGTCTCTCTGTCTTCAGGTGGGGCTTCTCCCCTTTCCATTGGCTGGGGTCTGCTCCTGGAACCCACTGCCTGCAGTATTCCCAGGAGGGACCTCGATCCTAACCTAGGTGTCCTTCTCATTGGTGGTCAGTCCTGGCTGTCAGGATGAGCAGGAGTGAGGCCAGGAGTATGCCAGCCACTTAGGGCTGGTGTGACATGCAGGAGGGAAGAGGATGTGTGTGAGGTATTCAGCATGGCTGGCTCTGGAGATGATGTGGAAAGGAGGAGCAGGCTGGCCCGAGGCCCCAGGAGGGATGACTGGTCACACAGCCCTGTGAAACGGGGTGAGGTTGTGGGGGACCTTGTCACTTACTGTGCTTCCCTGGTTGCACTGAGAAGGTGGGACCAGTCGACTGGCCAGGAGGCCAGTGGGCGAGAACCATCAGACAGTGATTGCTTGCCCTGTACTGTGCAGGGGCTTCCCCAGAAGTTACCCCACTGGGTCCACCCATGACCCTTGTACGGGTGGTGACCTGAGCCACAGAGGTGAGGTGCCTGGTCCAGGGATTCCAGACTAATGGCCAGCCCAGTGACCACACAGGTGTTATGTCTTTGACCTGAGTACCTGGCTGCCTGGCTTCCTGCTGCTGGGGGGCGGGGGGGACGGTGGCTCGAGGTGGTGGGTCATGGGGGCCCCACACCTGCCCTCCGGGGAAGGAATGGTGAGACCTGGTTTGTAAGTGACAAATCTAAGGCAGAAGTCAAGGGATGAAATGCTACTACAAATTATGTTTTCAAAGAATATTTAATAACAAATTTTAAAAATAGATCATAGATTGAATAAATCAGATCACCAAGCAGTGCACAGAGTGTGACCCTAACTTTGTAAAATATTCATATTTATATATAAAGACAAATATATATGTGCCAAGGAAAAAAGACTGGAAGGAATTATTAACAATGGTTATGTCTATATGGTGGCTTTATGCGTGTTTGTATTCTTTTTATTTTCAAAAATTTCCCCGGCACATGTAATATTTTGGCCAAATGCTTGCTCAAGGCTTCCTAGTGAGAAGAGAAACCCCAGAAAGGCCCCATCCGCTTCCTGTGAGGCTGCGGTGGGCGCAGCACTCGCTGGCAGGACCGAGGGGGGCGGTGGGGACCACGCTGCCTCGTCCTCAGCAGTGGCCCCCATCACTGTGGGTCACTGCCGGCTAGGACTCCTTCCGCAGGCAGGGGAGAGTGCAAGTCCACACCTCATCCCCAGAGATCCCAAGTTTAGATTTTTTTAGGAAGAGCACAGCTTTCAAGTAAATACAGCAGCGCCTCCTAGACCCATTATGGGAGGAGTGGGTTTTAATAGGAAGGCACACAGGGGAGGCCCAAATTTGCAAATTCTTTTAAAATGAGACTACTGATAGATGCCATTCATTCAGCACCTGTGCAGACACGGTGCTGAGTGCTCTGTGGACAGACATCTCCATGATGGCCTTGCAAGGGCAGAACCACTCCTATTCTGCAGAGGAAGGAGCGGGCTCAGAGGTTATGCAATTTGGTCAGATTAACAAGAGGCAGAGCCAGGATTTGATGCCAGCAGGTCTCCTGGCTCCAAACCCACTGTCCTGTTCACAGCCTACTTTCCTGTGAAATTGTAGGGAATTTCTGGGAGCATGTTACCCACTTCCCTGCATAGAGACACTAAAGAATGGGGCTCTGCCTGATGAGCTGGCATCAGGGCCAGGACTGCGCTGTGATAGTGGAGATGCGCGCTGGGGGGTGAGGCCTGCTGAGCACTTTGCCCCACCCTGAATGGCCCCAGGCTCAGCTGTTCCTTTGTGTCCTCACCTGTCAGCGTTTACTTTGCTGTTGGTGGGCCTGAGTTGGTCACCCTTATTTCTGCTGCTAATATGCAGCCTTGAATGTAACCTGGGCTGCCAGGGGCAACCAGATACACAAGATGGCTTTGGAAACTGCACACTGCCACCTTGTCGGCTTATTTATCTCCATTATTATCTCCCTTCTCTGAGGCTTTTGCTGCTTGATTTCATTTGCTGGCCACCTGGATGGCTGAAGGTGCTGGAAGTCTGTCAGGAAGGCCGTGACCACTGTACTTTCAGCTTTTCTGCACCAAAAGGGAGTCGCCTCACGACCCTCGTGTTCCTGGTCTGCACGTCGACCGGCAAGCAGTCTGTACCTTCAGAATATTCATTTCACAAACTTCCTGGCGCCCCCAAACCATGCCTGCTCACGTGCTAGGCTTCGAAAGACCAAACACACTTGTCAGAAGTTTCCAAGCCTCTGCCGCTCTTGATGTTGGGAGGAGAAAGCTGTTAAAGAGGCCCTGAAATGACAGGTTTCATGTCCTACGGCTGCTGGGCACTTAGGCCACGTCTTGGCTCTGTGGGAGGGGAGGGTCAGGACGGCAGGCAGATTCTCTGGCTGGAGGGGCCTTTGGAGATGAAAGAGCCCTGTGTCCTCAAGTCACAGATGGGAAACAAGCCTCAGTCAGGAAGGAGACTTGTCCAGACATCAAGTCAGTGGCTGAGTTGCAGCCAGAATACGGGTCTCTTGACATTCCAGGTCCAGGTGGAGGGGCTGCTGTCCCGCAGCGTGGCCCCAGCCTCCACCCCCACTGCCAGACCCTCCTCGGGTTGGGTTGCGGAGTGAATTCCAGAGATGCACATCCTCGGTCTCAGCTGGGCTGTGCCTGTGTCTGGGGTGGGCCCAGGGTCTGCTTTTAATGACACAGTATTTCAGGGTTCGGGCAGCTGGACTCTGTCTGCGCCAGCAGGTAAATTACAGGCTTAGCGAGTCAGAAATCAAATAAACACTCCAGCTGCTGCGGCTGCTCCAAGGAGAACAGTGGTTTCCGGGAACCTCCCCACCCAGCTCAGCCTAATTACCACCTGTCACTCCCTGGGGACAGCAGCCTTTTCTTTGGCTCACAGGTCCCAAGAAACAGGACAGGGCTCCTGGGCACACAGGGTGACGCAGGCTTTGGTTACCAGCCTGTTCTTACCTCTTAGACTCTGGCGGACTGTCATTGCCCACCCTCACCCCGCGCCTGGCCAGCAGCGGCGTAGGCACATGCTCTGGGTGGAATCAATTGCTCCCTAGTGGGGCCGGAGGGGGAAACCAATTCATCTCAGCTCTGAACAGCTGGTGGCTGCCTGGAATTGTGTGCTGAGGGTCTTCAGGCCCTGTCCAGCTTCAGTGGAAAAAGCACCCAGGTTGATTACTGATGGCCACAGGCAAGGCCATGGTCAGTGGTGGCATCTGCACTGTGTGTCTGCTAGCCTGGACCACCCACTACAGCCATTGTCCTTGTTCCTGCTAAGAGTTAACCTTGTCTCAGCACTAAGGCCCACGTGGAGACAGTGGAGGGAACTGGAAGCCCCAAAGTTCTTTGCTTTGGGGATCACAGCTCTTTCCCAGGCGGGAGAAGGACAGACCCAGGGCAGCAGAGGACACGGCCATAAAATGTCCCCACCAGCTTCAGCCCTGAGTGAGACCCATCAGCTTGTTTTTCTAATGTGCTATCTGCCTGCCAGCCCAGGTAGGAACAAAATAGTGCCCTGTACATGTGTGTGTCTATGCCTGGAAATGCCCCTGTTGCCTGGGGGAGGGGCAGACCCCTGCTGCCCACACCCAAATGCTGTGGTGAGTGGTGCAAAGCCCAACCAGGCAACCACACTCCAGGTGCTCCTCCAGTCCCCCTGGATCGGCCACAGGGCCAGGGATGCCAAGGACAGGTCCTAAGATCGGACTTCTGTGCTGACAGCAAACAACGTAGTCAGTACACTTCTGAGGCTGCTGTGTGCATCAGCCCCACCACAGCTGGGGGACAGCACCACAAACCCCAGGGGAAGGGGCATGGGCCTGGAGAAGACCACCTGGGGCTGGCTGGGTTTGAGGGGCTCCCGCCTCTGCAGAGGGGCCTGAGCTGGGGGAGGCGCCGAGTGGCCGGGGTGCCCTCAGTGGCAGCCGCAGGCGCGGACCACCATGTTGCGGTGCTTGCGCAGGATGACATTGTTGCTGCTGTCGTAGTAGAGCACGGAGGTGGCGCTCAGCTTGGTGGGCGCGCAGCACGCCTTGGGGACAGCGTCTGGCTTCATCAGGTGCACCTGGCCAGGGAGGGGGCGGCAGGCAGAGGCGTGAGAACTGTGGGCTTCTCCCGGGGCCCCCCAGCCCCGGCCCCCAGCTCCTGCCTGCCCGGGCTCCCCAGCCGCTCGCCCCTGCCCACTCCATTCTCCACCTGCAGCCAGGACGGGTGCTACCAGGCAACTGTGGCCGCCCCTGCCCTCCTTGACCCCTTCCCTGCCCTGCTGCCCTCAGGGCACAGCCTGGGCACCTGCCCACTCCCTGCCACACCCACTCCCTCAGACGCGACCCCAGCACACGGCGTGCCTGGTGCCCAGTCCTGTGCCTGACGCCCCTGCAGCATCCCCCTCTGAGGACCCCCCCTCCGCTCCTGTCCTCTCTGAGCTTCTGTAACGTCCCTGACCGTGTCCTGTCCGTGTTAGCTGCTCATGGTCTGTCTGCCCCCAAGACTGTGAGCCAGTGAAGGTGAGGGAACAGCTGGATGAGCCGAGAAGTCCAAGTTCACCCTGGGGCGGTCGGCACGATTATTTCCCAAAGCTCGCTTCGGCCCTCGCAACAACTCCTTAGACAAGCATCATTCCGGGCAGACGGAGACTGAGGGCACAGAGGCCCCGTGACTGCCTGGAGTCGCGGCTCTGACGGTGCAGCAGGATGTGGCCCCGGGGCAGCTCCCACCACCCTCCTCCAGCAGCTTCAGCACCAGAGACCAGCCTGAGGGAGGGGGCTGTTTTGGCTCCAGGAAAATATTTATCCTGAGACTCGGCAGGACAGGCTGCAGGTGGTACTGGACACCCTGTCGGGGCCCCACTCAGAAGGGCCCTGAAGGCAGTGGGCAGCCGTCAGGGGAGGAGAAAAGGAAGCCACCCTGGCGGAACCTGCCCGGCAGCCGGGCCCCCAGTGCCCAGTGCAGAGCCTTGTCCCGGAAGCTCCAGCTCCGAGCCAGCCTGCTGGGAGGACCATGTGCCGGACACTGGGCTGGTCTGGGGCCAGAGCCTCTCTGAGGCCCGTGGGGGAAAACGAGGCCTCTGTGGGGATGTCAAGCCAGACTGGGACATGCTCCCCAACTTCCCACCGTCCGCATGCGGTGGCTGCACTTGGCATTCGTAGACCCATGTGAAAGAAAGTAAGCGACACTGCCCACCTGCACCAGCCATGGGGCCCTGAGTGGCTGGAAACCGAGGACTGAAAGGGCCCGAGTTGGGACTCTGGAGAGAGGTCAGCACCACAGGGGTGCTGCCATCCTTCGCCTCCACCCTAGACCAGAGCTTTATTAGATGAGACAGAAAGAGAAACGGCCTTTTATTCCGCGTGGCACCAAATAGACTGATTTGCCTTAGACGACATGGGAGACCAAAGCAGAGGTTCTGGTCCTTATTGGGTCGGGTACAAATCGTGCATTGTGCGCCTCAGGTTTCTCCTCTGCCAAACGGGCACAACTGTTACTTGTCTCATTTCCAGCACAAAGGTATCTTGGACACGTGCTTTCTGCCAGCCCTACCAGGGCTGGGAGCACAGGAACGTCCCAGACAAGGTCCCATCTCTCAGCCTCAGTGGGGAGGGGAGGGGAACTGGGGAACATTCCAACAGACAACCAGGACCCACGAGAGCGGCACAGCAATCACAGCAGGCACTCAGCGCTCCGGGAGCGTGAGCCGTGACCACCCCTGGCTGAGAAGGACACAGAGGTGAGGCGGGCAGGGCAGGGAGGAGGCCCTCCTGGCGGAGGCAGCGGCCACTGCAAAGGGGGGAGGTGGGAACACACGGTGGTCCTGGCACGGAGCCAGCATGTGCAGGGCGATAAGGGCCCTGGGCCGTGTGCAGGGACATTGGTGAGGCAGGCATGGCAGCTAAAGAGGGGCCCTGCGTCCCAGCCAAGGGCTCGGATTCCTCCTGGGGACAATGGGACGCGACAGGAAGCTTCTCGGCTGAGAAGGAGGTGGTCAGATTTGTGCTGTAGTGAGACTCCCCGGCTGCTGCATGTAGAGCGACGCCGAGGGTGAGCCTGGAGGGACAAGTGTCCTCCTGGCCCCAGCCTCCCCAAGGACCCCTCCCACATCACTGCCCCTGCCTCCCACGGCTCCTCGTCCTTCCCAGGCCTCTCCACGTGGAGGCCCGTCCTCCCTGCCTCTCCTCCCGCTGTCTCCCAGAGCCTCATCTGCTCTGAGGACTCAAACGCTTGCCCCGTGCGACATCTCTCACATTCAGACCTTCAGCTGGGCCCTCCTCTGTACCCCGGACTCGTGGACCCAACTACCCACCCAAATTCACCACGTGGGATATTAGGGCCTCAGACACACGGGGTCGGAAGCAGAACTTCTGGTTTCCCCCAATCCCTCCTCCGACCCCACAGCAGCTCTGCCCTCGCCAAGCCGCCCGTCCTCCCCTTGTCCTCAGAAGGGCCCTCAGCCAGCACGTCGCTGAGCCCTCGCTGGAGGCCCTGCACCCCCTGCCGCCTCCACCCACTGCCCAGAGTGGGCCCGCCTCCACCATCCAGCTGCCGCAGCCCACCCCCACCACCCACCAAGACGCCCTGGGCCTCTTGTAGGTGACCGCAGCAGCCTCCTCACCCGGCCCCCAGCCTCCTCTACCCTCCACTCCACAGTCCATCTCCCACAGCAGGCAGAGAGAAACTTCTAGAGTGAGTCAGATCATGACACTGCTTCGCTAAAACCCTGCAACGGCCTCTCGGTTCACTTGGGATTAAATCCCCCCACCTGTCACCTTGTGAGGGACCCCAAGGCCACGTGAACGGCCCCTGCCCACCCCAACGTCACTTCCCTCCACCCTCACCCCCGCTTTGCTCCAGCCAGCCCCCGCCTCCCTGCCGGCCCTGAGCCCACCCAGCTTGCTCCTGTCCGGGGCCTTTGCACTTGCTCCTTCTGCCGGGAACATTCTTGCTCCGTGCAGAGGCTCAGCCCCCCTCCGATGAACAGCCATCTTCCTTCCTCACAGACCCAGCCTCTTGGCTGCCCCTCTGCTCGAGTGTCCGCAGACAGCCTCCCCGAGCGGTCAGCCACTGTCCTGTCTGCGCCCAGCACAGTGGGAGTGCTCACTCTGGTGACCGACAGCTGGGACACGGAGGGTGGGGGCTGGGGCGGAGCGGGGCAGAGCCGGGAGGGGCCACGCAGGAGGAGCCCTGCACAAAGGCAGGGAGGCCGGGGCGCCCGCCATCACACCAGCTCCTCGGCTGAGGTGGCACCCGGGCACCCAGTAGACCCCACTCGTCCTCAGGGGTCCAAGCCGCCGTCGCAATTCAGTTACTCTCACCCTAAGGCGTCGCCTTGACACAATCTCCTCCCAGAGAAACATCACCGTCGGGGCACAGGGGACTGGAGTCCAGGTCAAGGTTCTAGAGAGAAGGCTCAACCCCAGGATCAGCAAACACGAGCGAACACTGAGCAACGAGCAGCAGCAAGGACACTTCTCAGAGAATGACTGTTGGCATTTAGACCCCCGGACACCGGGCATCAGAGCCACACAGTCTGGGGGACACAGAGCTGAGAAGGACCGTTTACGGACACGGAGGGGAAGGGGGAGCCACAGCCCAGACATGCCTGGGGCACCCCCGACCCCAACACGCCACGTAGAGGGCAGGCAGCGCACACGCACGTCATCACCCCACAGCACGTGTGTCCGAGAGGGGAACACGCCAGGCACGCGGGTGTGTGTGTGTTCTGAGCTCACAGGGCTGCATGGGCAATGCACGTCTGTCACGGATGTGCTGTGCATGTGATAACAGGCACACCTGTCAGTGCGGGCGCCCCTCACACGAAAGCGACAGTCCCGCATGTGCATGTGTGCTGCACGGATGTGCGTGCGCGCACCGGCCAGTGTAAGCGGGGTGCAGGCAGGTCCCAATGTGGGGAGTCTGCGCACAGAGGCCACAGGGACCGGCCTCTGCACGGGGTGGTGACCACATGGTCGCAGGACAGACTCCATGCAGAGGATGCCTCCTGGCTTGAGCGGCGCCAATCCACCTCCCGGCTTCAGAGGCCCCTCTGCTCTGGGGACCCCGCCCAGGCGTCGGGGGGCCGGACGCAGGACTGACCAGGGACTGCAGGATGGCGTGGTTGGTGGCGTTCATGCAGGAGTCCAGCGGGAAGGAGCACTCCCCCTCACAGTAATAGGCCGAGTAGCCTTGGGGGGCGATGACCCAGTCCTGGGGGGAGAATGGGAGGAGGTGAGTCCCTCCACGGGCCCTCCGAGCCCCCACGTCCAGCACCTGTCACGGGACACTCAGGGCTGCCCTGCCCCTCCCCCGGCCTCAGGGCCCAGCACCCACCCTCAGCTGCTCGGCAGTCTCCCCAGAGGCCTGGCGTCCCCCTGGGGACCCCAGCAGACAGGGCTCGAGCCTGCTGTGCCCCTCCCCGCACCACCAGCATCCTGCGGGGGCAGCAGAGGCCCTCCAGCGCGGCCCACCGAGCCTGGCTTCCCTGTCGCAGCTCTGACAATCGCGGCTGAGCGTTCAGATAGTCTCCTTTCTCATGGTTTTACAAAAAAAGCACTATTCACTATAAAAGCAATGCATTCTCCCCTTAGAAAACTTAAAAAACAAAGCAAAAAGCAATAGCTAAGAAAATTGAAATGCCGCATAATTCCACCTCCTCCTGGAGAAACACTTAGGCTCTCGGCGGTGGGGGGCGGGGTGGGGGGCGGGGTGGGGGGGTGGGGACGCGGGACGGACTGTCAGTTAAGAAAGAGGAGGAGTCAGAAATTACCAGCCAGCCGAGGTCCTGGAAGCTGACATAGAGCTCGTGCCTACGACAAGCCTGCCGGCCGTCGGAGCCGTGGACATCATCTGCAGGGGACAGACAGCGCAAGGAGGTCTTTTGGGGGGTTCCTACTCTGTGCAGCTACCACAGGGAGCTCCCAGGACGGGGGACACCCCGATGGGCACATTTGTTGACTAAATGAAGGACGGAAAACTAAACCTTTTGGTCCCGTAAAGCCCATCCTTGCAGCTCTGCTGGTGCCATGGCCCAGCTCAAGAACCTTCAGTGGCTCCTGATGGCTCCAGAGTAACCGTACGCTCAGCCCAGCCTCCCCTGACTTTCAGCCTGTGGGCCTCCTGATGCTCCAATAAACAGCCCAGGGGACCCTCGGCCACCTAGGGGCTCGTCCTCCTTTCCTCTGGAGACACCTCCTGACCTCATTCCACCTCTCCTGCCAACCCGTTCCACAGGGTCTCGTGGCTCCCCCTGAGGCCAGCCCAAGGCTGACTCCCCGTGAGGAAAGGAGGGCATGTGGTCGGGTCAGGCCCGTCCCTGATCCTGAGGGGCTCGAACTCGGGAGGAGACCTTCGCATAAGGAACTGTGCATCCTGCAGGGTGCCCGGGGAGAACCGAGGGCACCCGGGGCCGTGCTGCCCAGAGGAAGGGGCGCCCCATTCTGACGGAGACTTCTGGGAAAGGCCAGTGAGAAGGGACTTCTGGGCGGCAGGAATGGCGAGCGCAGATGCTCAGAGGCCTGAGAGGGCAGTGGCCAGTCCCCAGGCTGCAGGGGCAGAGGAGGACAGTGAGGAGAGGTGGCTGGAGCGTGACCACCAGCTGGAAGCCCACCAAGAGCCTGGAGGGTTCATCACCACCACCTGGCTCGTGGCCCAAAGCCTGCGGGCCTCAGGCCCATCCTGGGCCCTCACCAAAGATCCCCGGGAGCTTGTTCGGGTGCGGCAGCTCGTTGGTTTTCTTCAGGGGCCTCCTCTTCAGGGGCCTCACAGCCCGAGGGGCTCGGACAGGACGGGAGCTCGCCCTGAAAAAAGTGACCATGAAGGGCTGTTTGGAGCGCGGTGCCCGTTGCCCCAGCAGACCGGCCAGGCCAGGATCCACGCTGAGCCCTGAGACAGAGAGAGGAGAGAGGGCGGTCACTCGAGGGTGGTGGCCCTGCACGTGGACACAGCAGGGACCCCTCTGCCGGGGCCTGGGAGGGCCCAGGAGCATGGAGGCTGAGGACTTGAGGGGACGCACTGTGCATCAGTTTCCTCATCTGAAGTCCAGAGTCCCAAGTCCAGCCCCAGCCCCCTGCAGGCAGGTCTGAAGCAGCTGGGGGCAGGGGCCTCGCGGGCTGCAGGGTCAGTATTAGCCATAATCGTGAACGCTGCCATTTGGGCAGCATGTTACGGGTTCAAAGTTATTTCACACTGACGATCTCACTCATCTTTCCAGTGATCCCGGACCTCATACTTCACTGAGAAACTTCAGAGTCACACGTGATGGACCAGAGCCACCCTGCCAGGGACTCTCAGAACCAGGGTCCCACCTTGGTCTGAGGCTCTGAGGCCCAAGTTCTACCTCTCACCCCGGACTTGCTGGGATTTCGACGTAGGATTTCTAACCTCAGCTGACTGGGGCTGCTGCCAGGACTGGGCGGGCACCTGCCCGCTGAGCACCGCCCAAGAGCCGGGCACTAACTGTGCCCTGAGGCCCACAAATGGGACACCAGGCTCAGGGGCAGGGACATTGGCCCAAAGTCCCAGAGCCAGGTTCACCCCACGTCGGTCTAATTCAAGAGCCAAGTTCTTACCCAGTTAAGTCCTTAACCACCGGGTTTGTGGTTTAAAAAGGGAAGCAGGAGAGAAGAGGATGGGCAGGGACAGATCGGGGCCTCAGCTTAGGGACAGCGAGGCCTATAAAAGCGGCATTTTACTCCACAGCCGCTTAAAGACTGAGGATGCCCTGAAAAACATATAATTAGCCCTCGAAACGGCCACTCGACCAGTCAGCTGTCTTCCTGTAGCTCTGTGTATTTCCACATGACCTCTTGATGTTTTAATTGTAAAGCAATGAAATAATAACTGTAAAGAAGCTTCTGAGAAAAAAATACCACTCCTAAACCCCTCCCCCACTCCAACACATCATTTTCACTTTTCTGGGCTATTTTCATGTCAGTTTAAGTTTTACACAATTGTCCGCACAGCAATGAAGTTTGCTTTCTTTCCATTTTTTTTCACATAAACATTTTCCTGGTTAAAATAAGCCTGAACTATAAACATTTGGAATGTATAAAATTCCTTTGAGAACATATGCCATAATATTTAGAGATTAGCTTATCTTTAGACATTCAGGTTATTTCCTGGCTTCCATTGTAAAGACGAGAATGTGAGGGGACCTCCTCACTCTCTCTTCCGGTGGAATTTTCTTACACTGGACCACAGGAGCATGACGGCCAACTCATGTTTACGTTTCTGAAAACACAGTGCAAGTGTTCCTCTTCCGTGTACATTTCCCCTCAATGCTGCAACACCGATACACACACACGGACACGTCTGTGTACACACACACATGCATGCATTTATATACAGGGTCTACACACGTGCACATACATAAACATCTATACTGTTCCCTCAGCGGGTCTAAGATGATTCTACCTTACACACCACAGGTCAAGGACACTGCCTGCCCCACCCTGTCCTGCTCAAAGGTCAGCCCTGAAACAGCTGTGCTTCAGCCCCGTGTCCATGGGCTATAAACTGAACAACTAATCAATCCAGAGATTGATTTGACCTATGACATCACCTGCCACAAACCAATGCGCTGGGCCCCTTGGAGCCTCACTCAGGAAGGACATACGGAGACAGGAGGTCTTCAGCCGCAGGAGGTGATGCTGGAAGGAGCCGTGAGAGAAGCCATTCAGGAGAGTCTGGGTCACAGCAAGTCGCAGTCGTGAGGAAGCAGCAGGACCACGAGGACGCAGAGACACAGAAAAGCCTGGCGAGCAGAGGGGACGGGCCAGGGTGGCCACGAGGAGGCGGCAATGGGGCAGATGGGAGCGGGGGGCTGAGTGTGGTCCATGTGGCCCTGGAGTGCAGCTCCACAGCCTGGCTGGCACATGGGCATGGCCTTGGGCTCGAGCAGCCCTCCAGGCCTGCGTGTGCCACTGCCTGTCACTAATCCTAGGTCCCCACTTGACAGAAGCAGAAACTAAGGCCCAGAGAGTAGCAACGGTTCAAGGTCCCAGAGCAAGCTGCAACAGAGCCAGGATTCTCCTACCCTCCTATCTTCCCCCAGCAAACCGTGCAGAGGCCTGGCTGGGGGTGTGGGGGCAAGGGACTGACACCTGGTCTTCTTTCAGAGGTCCTATCTGGCCGACCTGGGAAAGGACCCCCTGACCCTCCTTCCAGGGCCCAGAGCTCCCCCTTCCCCACCAGCTCTGCTTTTTGCCCAACCCATCCTCGGGCTGGGCTCCCTGCCTCCAGCTGGCTGCAGGGAAGGCCTGGGCTCTCTGGGTGGTAGGCTCCTAGGCTGGCAGGCATGCTGTACCCTTTGCAGCTGAGGGAGTACTTGCGGCCAGGCCTTGAGATGGGGGCCACAGGGGTCTCCCTGCTTAGACCCCAATGGAAGATGCTGCTCTTCTGGGCCACGTGGGCCCCATGAGACCTCCAGCCTCGCCCCACTTTGTGTCAGCCTATCAGGGCCCAGGTGTCTTGGCAGCTCACCTGCCCTATCCCGACCCTGGACAGGCGGTCAAGTCCTAATTCACACCCCTCCTCAGCTGTGCCAGGCCAAGACTGCTCCCATCTCTCCTCGAGGCTTCTTCCTGCTCTGGGTGCCGCTTGGCCCTTCCTTGCAGCCCCTGCCCCACCGCAGCCTGCAGTCATGGGCGTGACCCTGAGGCCATGCTGAAGGACAATCAGGACGCAGGTTGAAACCCTTGCAGGGAATCCCAGCTGTGGACAAGGTCTGCTTTGGCCCGAGGTTACTTCCTCATCCCAGGAGAACGGGGAACGCAATCCTTTCCTTTCTTTGTACTCTCTTAACAGCCCTCCAACTTGTCTGCTTCTGGAAACCTCTGCCTGCTCCATGCTGCTGCTGGAAAACTTCTCCTGACACCCAGGGCAGATCAGGCCCCTCCCCAGAAGCCCCAAAGGTGAAGGTGGCCCACTGTCCCCTCGATGACATTCCATCCTACCCCGCACGTGGCCATGGTCCCTGGCCACTCCCCCCACCCCAGGCTGTCCCCTTGGAGCACTGTCTCCCTGTCCAGCTCCCCATTCCAGGATCTGGCCCTTCCTCCGGGCTGAGGCCCCAGGGAGACCTCTCTGAGAGGCCTTCCCTGAGCAGCGAGAACTTCCTGCTCTTCCCAAAGTGCTCCCGTCGGTTGTGTGCATCCCAGAGCTACACTGAGAAAGTGCCAGCTCCTCGTCAGGCTTGGTTTTTAACACTTTACACACACACACACACACACACACTCATTGTTTTCTCTTTAGTCTTTGCGACTATGGGTTCGGGATGAAACACCTCACAGCCCCTCTTGGGTCACAAGGGAGTATCGACAGGAGGCCAGATTGGGCTCCAGCACAGAGAGGAAGGAGCTAAGTGTCTCTTCTGGACGACACAAGAACACCATGATTCAGGATGAGAAAACCCATCCAGGTTCTAGAACTCCTAGCACAAGCCGCAGCCTTTGGCGACCCCCAGACGGACGTTTACTCACAGAGGACACTTCCCACTGGAAGGGCAGCACCAGCAGGCCCCCCATTCAGTCGCTCCTGTTACCAGTCACTGTCCCTCCGAGACCGTTTTGCTTTCCTTCTAGAGACGTCTATTTAAAAGCTACGGGGAGGAGACATGTTGGGGGAGCAGGATGGGAGGTTACAGGGAAACAAAATGTAGCAACAAAATGAACGGCCCCAGAAGGAAAGTCAGAGGGGCCAAAGGAAAACCCTTTCCTTCCAACAGCATTTCTTCCGATCACAAAGGCACACCTGTCCTTGTGTACTTGCCACGTTACTAGGAAAACGGCGCCTCAGGTGAACCCCGGGGGTCTTACCCTCCCTCGTCGTTCGCTCCCTAAATTTAAGCACTCCTTCACGAGGGAAGGCACCTCAAGGAAACCCTGCCTGTGGCATCATCTCCAGCTGCACAGAATTTAACGCAAAGGCAGCCAGGGAAGGGGGCGTCCAACGTTTAGTCACGTGGCAGAGCTTTCTCAGCCCTCACAGAACAGACTCGATAAACTTCTACATTTTCCTTCTGTTTTTAATTAGAGTCAAATCCTCCTGAGAGAACAAAGTGCGTCTCCAGGGGCAGCAAGTCTGAGATGCCAGGAGAAATCTGGTCAGACCGCTTGTGTGTACACACGTGGTTCCTGACTACCTGTGGACCAACACCCGCGAGCTTCAAACGACGGACCCCCCTCCCGGGTTAGGGTGCCACCTGCTGCATGGGTCTGAGATCGGGGGAGACGGCGAAGGTGCTCCCCGTGCTCTTCCTGATGTCCTCCACCGTCAGGCCTTCCCAGAGCTCGGTCAGCGTCAGCCCTCTCTTCTTGTCCACGTCAAACACGGCCCTCTCCGTGATGATTCGGTCCACGCACCGCTTCCCGGTCAGGGGCATCGTGCATTTCTCCAAGATTTTGGGTTCGTTGGCCTTGGTGGAGTGCTCCATGGTGACCACCACCCTGGTCTTGGCACTGGACACCAAATCCATCGCACCCCCCATGCCCTTCACCCTCTTTCCGGGGATCATCCAGTTGGCCAGGTCGCCGTATTTGGACACCTGCATGGCTCCCAGCATGGTGAGGTGGATGTGTCCCCCTCGGATCATGGCAAACGAGTCATCGCTGGAGAAGAAACAGCCCCCGGGGAAAATGGTGACGGTTTGCTTGCCGGCATTGATGAGGTCTGCATCCACCTGGTCTTTCCGTGGGAACGGACCCAAGCCCAGGATGCTGTTCTCGCTGTGAAGGTGGACGGTTATATTCGGGCTGATGTAGTTGCTGGCCAGAAGAGGGATGCCTATGCCCAGATTGGCATACATGCCATCCTCAAATTCGAGAGCCGCCCGCTTGATGATCCGTGTTCTTATATCCTCGGCAGCCTTGGCTTTTCCACTTTCCTCCTTCCGGATTGTTAAACGCTCAATTCTTTTCTCATATTTCTCCCCCTGGATGACGCGATCTACATAAATGTTAGGAACATGGATGTCTTCTGGGGCAAACGACCCCACATCCACAATTTCTTCAACTTCGACCACCGAGGTGTTCGCAGCTTTGCACATGGGCACGTTGAAATTCCTGGCGCTTCGCCTGAAGATGACGTTTCCTGCGCGGTCGGCCTTCCACCCTTTGACCAAAGCGAAATCCGCCGTGATGGCGTGCTCCAGGAGGTAGTGGTGCCCGTGGAACTCCCGCACCTCTCTCGGCTGACTCAGGATGGCGATGTGGCCGTCCTGGAAGTACCTGATGGGGGCGCCGCCTTCCTGCACCAGGGTCCCGTAGGCCGTGGGCGTGTAGAAGGCGGGCACTCCGGCCCCGCCGGCGCGGATGCGCTCGGCCAGGGTGCCCTGGGGCGTCAGCTCCAGCTCCAGCTCGCCCGCCAGGTACTGCTGCTCGCACAGCGCGTTCTCTCCCACGTAAGAGCAGATGATGCGGGTGACCTGCTTGGTCCCCAGCAGCAGGCCCAGCCCGAAGTCGTCCACCCCCACGTTGCTGCTGACCACGGTCAAGTCTCTCACGCGGGTCTTGAGCAGCGCCCGGATCAGGTTCTCCGGAATCCCACAGAGCCCGAAGCCCCCGACCATGATCTTCGCCCCGTCGGCGATGTCTCTCACCGCCTCCACGGGATCCGTGTAGAACCGGGCGCGGGCGCGAGCGCTGCTGGCGAAGCCGCACACCCCGCCCTCGGCCAGCGCGCGCCCCGAGCGGCCGGTGGAGACGCGGCGCCCGAGCGCCGCCGCGAGGAGCCGCAGGGCCGCCATCGTCCGCTCCCGGCTCCGGGCCGCGGGGACAGGCCGGCGACCGCGTGCGCCCCGGGCCGCCGCCGCCGCGTCACAGAGCAGGCAGGGCGCCCGCGGGCTGACGCGCCGGCCCGGCTGGCCCCCCCGCACCCCGGCGCGTCCGTCTCCGAGGGCTCCCGAGGCGCCCCGCCTCCCGGCCGCGGAAGGCGAAGACGGGGCTCCCCGGCCGCGGACGGTCCGGCCCCCGGGACCAGGAGCAGGACGGCGGCGCACGGAGGCCCCGCGGCGGCGACACTCAGGGAAGACGCGGCCGCCGGTCTCCTCCATTCTCCGTGGCTCCCTCCTTCCCCGGGTGACCGGTCCAGCCCCAGGGCTCTAACCCGCTGGTGTGTCAGTGGTCCCCGCCCCTGCGTCTCCCGCACTCACCTGTCCTGGAAATGACATTTCCACGTGGACGTCCACCAGGGCTCTCAATAATGTCACCGCCAGAGACAACCTTGTTTCCTACCTCAAACCTGCACCTCCTCTATTTTTCCCCAACTCAGGCAAAAAAAAAATCTATTAAAAAAATCCCGTGGCTCAATCCTGGTCATCCAGGATTCCTCGCTCAGCCTTTCTCCATTTCCCTAACAAGGGCACACAGCTGTTACCTGCGCCCCGTGTGCCTCTGGGCCCTCTGACTTCGCTCCTGTCCCACAGGCTGCTCTCCCCGCTGACGTCAGGGGGCCTTTGGTTTACACACATGATAAAGTCTTTTTGTTCTGTTTGTTTTATAATAGTTGAGATTTATTAGAAAAATGGCAAGATAATACAGAGAGTTCCCATATATGCAGACCCAGCTTCCCCTGGGAAATGTTAACATTTAAATCCCTCTGGCACAGATGCCACAACCAGCAAACCATTACTGGTCTCTTCTTCTCAGTGAAACTCTACGATTTACGAGGATTTCATTTTCCCCAGTGCCCTTTTTCTCTTCCAGGATTCCAGACATTTAGTCATGACAACTCCCTAGGCCTCTCTGGGCTTTCTCAGACCGTCCTTGTTTTCGATGACCCGGACAGTTTTGAGAAGTACTTCCAGGTATCCTGCAGAATATCCTTCAGTTTGGGTTTGTCTGACGTTTTCTCACGGTTAGACTGGGGTTGGGGGATTTTGGGGTGAAGCGCCCTCTTGTCCCAGCGCATCAGGGCTGCGTGGATCTACGTGACTTATTCACGTGACCTGGGTCACCTGGCGCAGGTCGTGCTGCTCAGGTTTCTCCACTGTCAAGGTGCCTCCCCCAGCCGTGGCCGTCCGGGACTTTGGGAAGCAGGTCACCAAGCACCGCCCACACTGAAGGGATGGGAGGGATGCTGCACCTCCTGGCGGGCGGGGGTCTCCGAGGGCTCTTTTATAAAATCCTGACTCAGACCCTGTCGCCCTCCACTGCTGTTAAATAAAATAAGCTGCCCTAGAAACTCCACCCCTGGCTGGGTTTCCCCGAACTCCTCACGCCCCCTGCGCACCTCTCCCAATCTCATGCCGCCTAATCTCTGCCTGGCCCGCTCTGCCCCAGCATGCCGGCCCCCTGCTGTGGCTCAAACACGCCAGTCTTGTGCCTACCATCAGCCCTTCTGTCCCCACTGCCTGGCATGAAGCAGCACCCCCCTCAGGTGCCTGCTAACGAATGACTGACTGTGTGAATCCGCATTCTACACACGCGAGAACTGAGGCTTGGAAAGGTCAGCGACCTGCCAAGGTCACCGAGGTAGAAAGCTGCAGAGCCGGGCTTCAAAGCCAGGCCTCTCTGCCCAGAGCCTGAGGGTGGAAGCACCCGTGCTCTGCCCAGTACGGAGCCCCTGGAGGAGCTCCTGCAGGCTGCTCCGGAGAGGAGTAGAAAGAATCACTCATTTCCTGGGGAGGGAAACACGGACTCGCTCCCTCACCAGCTCCAGGGTTGGCTCTGCCCAAGGAGAGGAGGAAACGCCCGCTGGCAGGGGCCTCCTGCTGTCCCGCACTGTGGGAACCTCACCTCGTTACCCCATGGAGCCCCGCGGTGGGGAGGGCATTGTCACCCTGCGGCCCGCTGAGAAAGGGGCGGCCTCCAGGGCCAGAGGAGGCGGCTCCAGCTGCGTCTGCCGCCAGCGGCCTTGGAGGAGCCCTCAGGAGAAGGTTCGCTGCCCGACCTGAGTCTTACCATCCTCCGTTTCCACATAGAGCCGGAGTCCCAGGTCCTTGTTACGGTTCAACAACCAGCGGTCGCTGGCTGCTGTCACGTCCAACACCAGCCAGCCCTCGTCCCCAGCTCGGAGCGTCTGAAGATCCAAAAAGAACAAGTCAGACTCCCTGTGGACACGAAAGAACAATTAACCGAGGGCCAGCACAGCCGTCTCTGTGTTTCCAGTGCCCGCCTGGGGACCACTAGTGGGGCATCTACCGCCTGGCTCTGGGCTGGGCGCCTGACGTGTCTTATCTCACTGTATCTACTCTTCAAACGTGTTACTGCGCCCGTGTACAGATGGGGAAACGGAGGCTCGGGAGCTCAGTGACCCGTCCAAGGTCCCACAGGCAGGGCGGAGATTTGAAGCCAGGACTGATGCTGGGCCCTTCTCCACGGTGCAGGGGGCCTCGGGCCAAGCATCTTCCCGTCTCTGAGGGTGTGCTCCCCAGGAAGCTCCCCTTCTGTGCTCTGGTTAATGTACCCCCAGGGCTGGGCCGACATGCGGACAGAGGCCTGACTGGGAGGCAGGGCATGGGGCTGGCACCTGTTGGCCCGCTCCCTGACCACCTCGAACATGCTGACATGGAGGGTCCTGTTGAGCGGGTGGGTGCTGGGCAGCTTGTAAATCCGGAACTCAGCAGCTGTGACCGCCTCCCCCGCTGGGATCTGGGTCAGGTCAAAGCGGAACTCCTTCCAGTGGGGCTCCTGGTGGCCCAGGGTGCGGTCGAGCTCCACTGCAAGACAAAGCCGGGCTGGCAGTCACACGTGGCTCTGTGCTCAGGCTCCAGGGTGGGCAGAGCTGGGTGGGAGCCAGGGGCCTGGGCGGGGCTGGCTCCTGGGCTCTGCCTCCCGGGTGCTGAGCGGGCTCCCTGAGCCGTATGGTGAGGGCCCCAGCACAGAGCCTGGCACATGGTGGCTGCCAACAAGGGGTCCATTTCTGGCCCCCAAACCCAGCCTGTCCTGCAAAGTCTCCTGCTGGCTCTGGGACCCACAGATGGGGCAGAGGTCAGGTCCCTCCTCTGGGGAGATGGACATCAGACCCGAGGCAGAAAAGGACCACGGTGGTGGGCAGGGACATAACTGAGCACATTTCAGGGGGACCGGGTCTCCCCGAGTCTGCTGATGTGCATCGGTGGGAGGTGGGGGAGGAGGGTGCTTGCCGCTAATGCTGGAGCTGGGGCTTGAGGGGTGACAGTGAATTTGCCACGACGTCAAGGGAGAAGGACCCTGCGGAGGAGGGCACAGCATGAACAAAGGCCCAGAGCTGAGGAGCGGATGGCACCGGCAGGGACACGGACAGTCATGAAACACAGCAAAGGGCAAAAGGAGGCAGGTCCCTTTGTAGAACAAGGTGAAGGAGGAAGGAGGGAGGCATGGAAAGGAACGAGAAGCAGAGAGGAAGGAGTGACAGCTCCTGGAGAGGCCTCGTCAAGCACTGGGGAAGTTGGAGGGTCCCATGACATGATGGGATCTGAGCAGCCTTTCTGGAGGAGGTGACATGTGAACTGGCCTTGAAGGATCGCATATGGAGAAGGTGGTAGGGAGGGCATTCTAGGCAGAGGGCACCTCATACACACAGGTGCGGGGGTGTTGGGGCCACCCACAGATCAGCGGTGTGGGGCACAGGGCGTGAGTCTGGCTGTGGCCTGACTGTGGAGGGCTGGAAATCCAGCCTAGGGGTGTGGGCCTCGCCTCTGGCCTGTGGGGCCAGGGTTCCGGGCAGCAGGGAAGCGGCATGGTTTGAGGGTGGAGTGGAAGATATGCGTGGAGGCGGGGGTGAAGCACAGGCTGGAGGGGGCCTGAGGCGGCCCAGTGGGGGGTCTGAGTCCGGGCAAGAGACCGCGGGTGGGACCAAGTCCCGCATTTCCCCAACTGCCCGGAAATGCCCAGGACAGTATATTTAGGGCCGTCTCACTTTAGCCTCCTGTCGCTTTCAAACACTAAAAATCTGTGTTTCCGCAAAGCAGGGGCGGGAGCCGCCCAGCGCCTCCCCCAAAACCCAACACTGAGATTTTAATGACATGTCTGTGAGTCTTTTTAAAAATTCTCTCTCTGGCTACTGGGCTCAATGACCACAAGTCACCAGGCTGGTGGCGGAGGCGGATGTGGGGAGCACTTCCTGTCCTCGCGGTGGGGACCTGGTCCAGGGATGGATGGGCAAACAGCTGCACTGGGTGGGGCCGGTGGACACACACGTTTGGGCAGGAGACGGGCTTTTCATCCCCAGACCGTGGAGGAGAATGGAACCTCCATCATCTGACAGGATGTCAGACATGCAGCCCATGCCCACCCTCTAGCCAGGCTGCTCCAGAGGCAGGTGACACAGGCGGGGTCCAGGTTCTCCCACAGACAGAGGATGGAGGGCAGGGTTCTGGACCTCTGCCAAGTGATGCTTGCCATGAATATCCACACACAAGTCCCCTCCTCCTACAGACACACTCACACACACACAGCTTTGGTGACAATTCCTGTGGATTCAGGGACCGCACAGACTCTGTCACGTGGCTGTGTAAGAATCCCTCATCTGCAGGATGACACAGGCCCAGGCTGCTGGCTGTCACAGCGTGTGGTACAGACAGTGAGGAGGGTTGCTCAGTCACACCCTGTGCCTGACCCCTTCAAAGCATCATTAAGGGGATCTGTCCCCAAGGCACAGTGGGGACGGACAGCTGGGACCTGGGGGCCCACTGGGAGTTCTGTCTGCAGGCCTGATGCTGATTTCTGTTGGATCCAGTGACCGAGGGAACAACCCACGAGCCCGCCAGCTCCGTGCGCGCACCAAGCTCTGTGGCCTCCCTTCCTTGCTGACTGGGGGGCCCAGGTGCGCTGGGTCAAGAGAGCCTGGTTCATCCAAACTCAGCCCAGGTCCAAACTTCCGTCCTGTGTGTTTGTGAAATCGACAAACCAGCCCGTAGTTCCAGCTCGGGAAACTGCCCGCCCTGCTGTTCCAGGCACGCGCTGGAAGGTGGTACATTTAGGAAAATAAGACTTTTTGTCAGAAATTGCTATGACCTCCTGGGATGCAGCATTAAACTAGACATTACTGTAACTGGCCCGGGGGCAGTGCCCCTTTCTTTGCTGGAATCACGTGGATGTACAGCTTTCAGGGTTGCTCCTTCGGATTAGGAAAGATACGTCTCAAACGCCGGTGTTGAGGAAGAGCATTTGTTAGGACCTGGATTTTCCCCGTGGCAGTTCCTGGGTGGGCTGCTCCTGCTTTGGCTACTAAACCAGCATCGAGAAGTGCAGCTGCTCTGGCTAGGAGCTGGGGCTTCTGGTCCCAGCCCCGACCCCATCAGCGACCAGGTCCTTTCCCTGTGTCGCCTCAGTCTCCTCACCTATGAAGTGGGGCTATTAGGATCCTGTCCACAGAGGGCTCTGAAACAAATCTGCAAAGGGCAGGGATTATGAGACAGGAGCGATGGCCACTCCTTAGGAGCTGGGGCGGGGCGCTGACCCCTAATTTCCTAAATTCATCGACGTATGAAAGTGATCACATTCTGCCAGCACCATCCGGAATTTCATGTATGAAACTCAAGAGTCATGGGGTCAAGAAAGGAGATATTCAATTTTCTTTTTCTGTGTAAAAGTATGGAATGAAAGATTATATAACATAAAAAGACAGCAATTCGGCTGAAAGGCATTTGGACAGCTTCAAGATGCCTCCTTTTCACCTGCCTGACCTTTGTCACCACACTTGATCCTTTGGGCCTCAGAATTCACATCTGCAAAATGACCGTTTGATGCAGGGTCAGATGGAAGTGTAGACAGCCGTGTTCCTATGGTAGCTGGTCTTGGTTACGGTCCAGCAAACGCTTCTAACATATTATTCAGCAACGTTTCCTTTTCGGCACACCTTCATGCCCAGCCTCCACCTTCCCCTATAACCAAGGTCTGGAATCTCCCAAAGATGCCCAGGCCCGGAGAGGCAGCCCCTCAGCAACACCACTGGGGCCGTTGCCCGAGTTCTGGCTCAGGTCCAAAGCAAAAACTGACCTTTCTTCATAAAAGTGCTGAGGATTCCAAACATCAGAGCCCAAAGGACAGAGATCATCACATACAGTCTCCTCCCACTTTTACATACACGTGGGGACGGAACCTGGGGGTCCTCGCTCCCATCTGGGCTCCTTTCACTACAGTGGGCCTTTATCACCTGATAGAACGCTGAAAAACACGCCACCAAAACCAAGTTGGAACTGGCCTCTCGCTGCTTCCCACCCCACTGCTATTGTTTGATGGTCCACAGAGGGAATTTATGGGAAAAGCCAAAGTCCGTACAACGTGATTTCTTGGGTTTTCCCAGTAAAATTTTGCTGCGGGTTGTGGGGTTAGGAAGTTCATTCCCAGATCCCCTGGCAGACTCACACAGGCTGGAGGATGGGGGCAGCGGACACTCCCTGCCTGGCCTACGTTCTGGATCCCGGCCATCTGAGATACGTCCTGCCAGGAACCCTCACTCCGTGGTGGCCCTGTGGGGGAACACGGATGTTTGGAGCAAGGTTTCTGGGTAGTCAATTATCTCCCCCACCTGCAAAATCTGGGGCAGGGATTCCTAAGCTAGTGGTGGTGGTGGGGTCCCCATAATTTCACCCTTGGGCACGTGGGAGAAGACTCCTGACTGTGTTGCCTTCTCGTGCTCTGCAGGGTTTCTAAGAACACTTACTTTTTCCATTCATGTCTCCAGGTCACATCCAGGGATATTAACTAATTCGCTTATTCAACACCTTTGAAAGCAGTGCTTGCTGTCTGCAAGTCACTCTAGGCACTGGGGAAGCTGCAGGCAGCGGGACAGACAGCCCTGCCCCACAGAGCTCCCAGTGCAGTGGGGACGGTGGGGAGCAAACGAGATCCCTGCACGCGATGAGCTCTGCGAAGGACCTGGGAGAGGGGTGGGGTTTGGGACAATGCCGGGGGGCGGGCGGGGGTCAGTGTGCATTTTAAACTTTATTTGGAAATAACTAGATTATTTAGATTTAGAGAAAAGTTGTTGCAAGAATAGTACAGAGACTTCCCATATACTCTTTACCCAGCTTTCCCTAATGACAATATCTTACATAACCAAACCATGGTATAATTATCAACCCCAGAAAATTGATATGGCTACAATACTATTAACTAAACTACAGACTTTTCTTGAATTTCACCAGTTTTTCCACGAATATCCTTTTTCTGTTTCAGGATTTCAGTCTAGGATCCCACGTCACATTTAGCCGTGAGGTGTCCTTGGTCTCCTCTGATCTGTGTTAACAGCTAAGTCTTTGCTTGTCTTTCACGATCTTGACACTTTTGAAGAGCACTGGTCACTTATTTTGCAGCATGTCCCTCAATTTGGGTTTATCTGATGTTTTCTCCTGATAAAATGAAGTCATGGCTTTTGGCAAAGAATACACAGAAGTGATGTCCCCTTCTCCGGGCATCAAATCAGACAACAGGATGTCAACTATGTTATTACTAGTGATGTTAACTGACTCTTTGGTTAAGGTGCTGTCTGCCAGGCATCTTCAGTGTAATGTCAGAATTCTTCTTTTGGAAATAATAAAATCTTAGAGGAGATACTTGGAGATTTAAGCATATATCCTGTTTCTCCTCAAACTTTTGCCCACTAATTTTAGCATCCATTTGTGGATCTTGCCTGTAGCAATTACTACTACAATATCTGCAATAGTGATTTTCTATTTCCTTCTTTCCCTACATTTATTCATTGGATTTTTTTTTTTTTTTTTTGGTGAGGAAG